TATATATAAATTATAAATTTATTAATATATATTATTATTATAATTCTTAATTTAAAATTCATTTAATTTCATCTAATTAATTTTTGCTCTTAAAGTATTCGATATCCTTTTCTGATAATTAGATCAATCTGCCATAATTATCTACTAAATGATTACCATCCTAATTCATTACATATCCATTTTCATCTACTTAATAAATTATCTCATCTTCCTCATTTTCATTTTCATGTATGATCGACATTTTATCTAAAATTAATGTAATTTTACATCTATCCATATCTTCCTTTGTCAAAATAATCTGCTAATCTTCTTAATTTAAAAATCGAACTGGTGATTCTTTATCCTTTATTTGATTACTACTATTATCTGATTCTATTGTATCATTATACTAATTATCTGGCAGTTTTCTATTTAATAGATAGTCATTGACTTATTTATTAAACTATTCGTATTTTTTGATATATGTATCATAAGTGTCTAATGTAATTTATTGTTAAGGCTATGATTATTACTAAGTGTTTTGTAATTTGAATTAATTATCAAAATATGATTTCAATTCGATAATAATTTCTTATTTTATTCCAGAAAAAAGGACAATTTCACTAGTTTATTGTCCCTATGTTTTCTTTAATTCTTCAATTTCATGTTTTAATTATTTTGTTATTTCCTAATCTTATACTAATTATTAATTTAATGCTTCTATTTAAGCTACAAATGTTTTATTTATTTTTTTTTATTCAACTAATTCCTGTTTAGATTGTTCCAGTTCGGTTTTAACTAATTCAAAATCTTTCCTAGAAAATTCAAACATTTTGAGCATTTCTTCTCTTAATTGTTTTATCTGAGCTTCATTTGTAGTTGAAGATGGAAAAGCTCCAATAGGGATTTATTATAGAGATCTTTGTGAATGTTATGGAGTATCATGTTGACTCAATAGTCTGCCAGATTGGAATGCTTTTGGATTTAAATTCTCTTTATCTCTTTCTCTAGACTAATGATTTAATTGTTGAACAGGTCTCAATTCTTCAGTTTTAAGAACTATGGGTTATTAAGTATATTAAGGCTGTTAAGGAACTATATATTATGGTTGGAGGAACTGCATGCGATTAGATTACTATTCTATAAGCAAATAAATGGGGGATAATACAGATTCTGGGACATGGACTGGAAGGAGCTGGAGATAAACGTCGCTGTTAGTGCATTTTAAAAATAAAAATTATAATTAAAATGAAGCCTTAATAAACTTATTTATCATTAGGAAACTGGCTTAAAATTTGTAATGAGTAAAAGAGAGAATAAATTAGAGAATTAGAAAAGAAATTCATATTGAGTATAATAATTTTAACCAAAAATGCAGAGAAATATTACTTTAGTTGCTGGATCAGATGAGATACCATATAAATAAAGATGAGAAAGTTTTTCTCAGATGTTGAATATGGATACCAATTATAAAGGCTAAATTACCTATAATTTTAATTTATTTATTTCCCTTTTATAAGTAAAAAACCAAATAATATATAATAGTAAGATTATTTTAAGTTAAAATTTAGAAATACTAATAGATTAATCGAATATTTTTTTGCTAAGATTGCAATCAATATATTCTTGAAAGTATTTAAAATTTGCTCATTAGATTAATAAATAGTGAAAGATTGAATTTAGAAATGAATTATGTTTATATTTTTTGAATTCTATTTTTGATATGATCAAGAGTATAATGAAATTGTAAATTTTTAATAATCATATGTCTACTTTAATTCTAGATGATTAAGTAGTTTTAAATAAAGAATTAGAGTTATTAACCATGGGAAAAGATTCCTTCTTAATATTAGACAATTTGAGTCTTCGATTGATATAATTGTTTATCACCTTATGTTCTAAGAAACTACAATAAATAGTTTTTTTAGTTTTTCCAGGGGTGATTGGATCGTACTTGATTGGTTCATTATCATAGATTTCAGTTCTTATTAATCTATTGTGTTTTCTTGGAATAACTCTGACTTTTTCTTCTTCACTTTAATAAAGTTTAGTAAAACAATAACTACATAATGAAATAGTTTAATTTATGAAGACTGTATTATTTCTAAATTCTTAATATTCATCTAAACTCATTCTCGGATACATTAATTTGATCACTCTTGGTATTAATTAAGTAGGATCTATTTTTATTAATTAAGCATGCAATCTATGAGATTTTGGAGATTAAACTTAAGATCGATGATCAGATCCAGATTCCCAATAATGAATCAATTCTTTTAATTTAACTTTTGAAAATTCTATTTAATTTTTTTCTTCATCACATACTATGCATTTAGAATTATCAGATAATGTTATTGCCTTTGGATAATTCAAAAGTTCCTTTGTTACTTTTTTAGTAATTGAAAAGTCAGCTTTGAATCAATAATATTTATTACGTAATGAAAATTTGGTGGGAACATTAGATGTTGATAAATTGGAACATATTATTAGATAGATTTATCCTTTTTTTGATAATTTAAATATCAATTCCATCAAGGTTATTTCTTTTTAATTTTAAGTAACATTTATAACATGAGACATGATTAATCCACATAATAATTCTAATCTTTGACAAAATTATGTTCCCTTTAAACTGAAAATCTTAGAAATTAAAATTATACGTTGATTATTCAACAGGACCATTTTAAGTTTCAAAAGTCACTGCTCTTTAATATATATCTGCTTTCTACATCATTATTGGATATTTATTTGTAAATACTTCAAAATAACATAAATTGTTTCCCCATGTACATTTTATAACTTCATTCTTCTCAGCTATATTAATAATTATATTAATCTACATTTTGGATATATGAATTTTTATAAATAGCCCTCAGTTTCATAATTCATTTGAGATATTAATTAACATAGAAGATATTGAGATAGAAATTCGAATTCAGTTTAATTATCTTTCTTTGTAATCCAAACAGCACATATCTCATGATTATCATTCTTATCCTTAACAAAATCCTTTAAAATAGATTCCAGATTCAGTTTTGTTTTACTCTTTCTCATTATTTATGAATCCACACTATAATACCAAAAATGAGGTTATCCTTAAAGAATTTGTATAGTGTCTGGAATATCTAACCGAATGTTGTTTTTGAAAATTGGATCTTAGAGCCATAACAAATGAATAAGATTAAAGTTGAAACCACATCCTTCTAGCTAAAACTTGTTAAAACTCATTATATTTAGTATTACAAAAATTAATTATCAAATACTTTTTTTTCTTCAATCAAAGTCTCTTCATATTTATAATCAAGTATCTATTCCTCATTTGAAAACATTTCATCTTATTCTTACTCACATAAATTAGTTCCAATAATAATATTTGAGTTTTAAATTGTTCTATCATATTATCTATTTTATATAAAATATTAAAATACTCAGCATTGGGAAAACTTGAGAGTTGAATTGAATAATTATTTAATTAAGTAACAAAATTGATCTATTAGACTGAGGTAAATGTCTTAATTATTGAATTAGATTTGTATATTTAATATGGTTCTTCTGAAAAGTTCTATTCTTCAGATATGCTATTCATTAATAATAATTATTTTTATTAATGTGTATCAAATTCAAAACTAAATGAAGAAATTCAATCAAATATTATTCTCAATCATCATCACTTGAACTTAGATATTCATCATTCTTTCTTTTTTCATGTTCTGTCATTGTTGGTGGAATCTAAATTAATGGAGATTTTTCTAAAGGAGATTTAGTAAATTAATTCTTAAATTATAATTATTATCTTCTTTGTTCATCTGATTATTTTACTAAAAGCTTATTATAAACTCTTACATCCTTCTTTAAACTATCTTAAATCATTCTAAATATCAATATTTGTATTGAATATTCTTTGTTGTTGTTATTAAGGTTGCACTATTTGTTTACTATTAGGAACACGATTAGGTTGTATTTAGACTTCATTAACTTTTGGTAAACACTTTTCTATAAATCTAATAATTTCATTTATTTTTAGAATACCTCTCTAAATCTTAATTAAATATTTTAGATTCTTAGATTCCTAAATAATATTCATTGAAATCTAATTTAAAATGAAGGAATTTCAACCTATCTTCTTTTTTAAGTTTTTCTAATAAATCAAACATTTAATCTCTATATTATTTCCTCAATTCTAATAAAGACTTTATAATATCTTAATTTTTATTTTGATTCTATCTACTTATATTTTATTGTTTATTTAATAAATTCTTCAATTATAATTGCTAATTATCAGTTTATGATATTTAATCTTTGGCATAACTTAAGAGTAATTCTTGACAACTCTTAAATCTGAATATATAATCAAATAATTTAAATAACAACTTTTATGTTGATTCTCCTTTAGTATTTAAGAATGATCTATCTAAGATATCAGATATGAATAATTCATGTATTTTTATTAAACCATCTAAATCTTATATTTTATCACATTCATCAATAAACTTTTTCCAAGAACTTTCTATTGCTTCTAACATTAGATAACTATAGAAATTTTTAATAAAATGCTGCATTTCATTCATCATTTAATAACTTAATTGAATTGCTTTTTTTATAGTTTAGAATTAATTAGGAATTACCATAAATTTTTAATGCATTTTCCAACATTAAGTTAATGTAAATTCAACTCTTTTAATTCTCCATAAAAAATTGAATATTCTATAATATGATAACATAATTTTCTAATTAAAAATTGTATTCAAAGGTTCATCAATTGTATAATCCAAACAGAATATCTCCCATCCAGTATCATTTTAAGAAGGTTCAAGAAGTTTAACATTTAATCTAACCTCTTATGATATATGTTTAAATGCTGATTCTAAAATACTTAATAAAGTATGTCTATAACATTATTATGCTGGTTTATTTAATTCTGTTTATAGTAATTCCATCAAAGTATGTATGAACTCTCCTTAACCTAATAATAAAAATCTTTTAATTGCATTAAGAGTAATTTTAAAGTTTGGTTTAATCAATTAAATTAATTATTTGTTATATTCCTTATTGACTTAATCAACAAAAAGTGAAAATTATTCTGTTCCAAGTAGATCAATAGTAATTAAATCATAATTTTAATTGAATTATGTAAATTTGCATTATTTTCTAAGCCAATTGATAACTCTACCTGTATCAAATATTTTATAAGAATCATTCAAAGATATCATATAAGGTATTTTATCTTGATTAACTTTAAATTCATTCTTCCACAATTCTCCACTATCTCTTATTTATATTTTATTAGAATCATTTCTTTCTATAAAGAATTCTTATGCTTAATCATTTAAAGATCCATCAAAAATCCATTAATTTATAAATCTAACAATTGGAATAGTTGTTTAATGTAATATTCTAGAAAATAATTAAGATGTTTATGGACAACCATGTTTTGAATATCTACAGAGAATAGAAATCACTAATGAAGATGTAGTTCCTAATTAAACATTAGTCAAATTTTAGGATAAAACTAAATTAATTTAAACTAAATGATGCATTGGCTATTTCAACCACATATACATTTTTCTTAATGTTAAGGTAGATTCTGCTAGAAGATTTTCAAAATATGCAATCAATCTGTAATATTCATTTAATTCTTCTTTAATGGAATTCTACAATGCTTACAATACTAAACTATTATAATTTGATTAAGTGAATGTTTAAATTTTTTTAAATAACCATCCACATTCACACATAACATTAAGTAATTTCCTGCTAGCAGAACTAATGGCTATATCTTTTTTCACTTAAAATTAATCATTTATTGGATCATAAGATATGAATTAACTCTCAATACCTTATATGCTAAATATTAGGTCTTTAATCAAATCTTTTTCTGAAATAGATAGAGTTCCATTTCCTTTATCAGTTATTTATTGAATAATATTCATTAAATCATTATTTATAGGACTCTCTTCTATAATTTTCTTAGGTATAGTTTAGGAATAATTTATTTAAGAGATCTCTTATGATTTAAATAAGGTGTCTAAAGTTTAATTAGTATAACTATTATTTTATCCTAATTAACTTGTACGAAAGAGAAAATGAATTAGTTCATTTTTTTTTTTTAATCTCGTTTTGTTTAATCGATTAATACAATCTTGCAATCTATATGCTTATGATTTCTTTTGTTTAGATATGATATTACATTAGTCATTTTAGTCATCTCTGCTTGAAGTTCTGATTCATCCATCAATTATATACCTGTTCGTACATTCAAAATTCTTAAAAAATAGGTTTTATAGTTATTTAATGTACTATCTTCAATTGAATCTGGAAATGCTTGTTTTACAAATTGATGTAATAGTATTTATGTCTCCATTAAATATTTGAATTGAAATTTTTGGTTGAGTTTATAAAATATTTTATAATAATCATTTTTTCATTAATATATAATATAGATTTTAGATATCAATTATTCAATTATTCCCACTTCACACATTTATTGTTTAACCATTCTCCTATAGTCATGATTCCATTCTCTATTAATTTCGATTCCCCTTACAATTATCCATCTACCCAATTACTTTAAAATCTACATCCATCTGGCCATTTGAATAAACCTTCACCATTTTTCATATCATTTTTGTATTACTTTTAATTTATGATATTTTTACACATTCAAATATATTTCCATTCTCAAATACAATCTATGCACTGCCTTCTTTTCGATTATTAATCCACTTACCAAACTTAATTATAATATTATTGTACCAATTAACTTCATTCCATTTGGATATATGTATACTCCTTCTCCTGAAAAACTATCCTTCTAAAAATGTCCTTCATATGATGATCCATTAGGAAATGTTATTTTTCCTTTACCATGTTTCTTTCCTTCTACAAATGTTCCTTCATACTCAGTTTTATCTGCAAATATCTCCTTACCAATTCCATGTTAAAATCCATTATGCCACTTTCCTTAAAATAATTGATTATTACCCAACCAATATATTAATCTCCATTCTTTCTAGTGTATATGCCCCAACCCTCTGCAAATCCATTCTCCATTTCTCCCTCATATGTATCACCTTCTGTAAATTCTACATTCTCATATTATTATAAGTTTTCAGTTGTACAATTTCCCATTTTATTATATATTTAAATGAATATTTTCTAAGTTAATTATAATTAAATGAATTTCATCTCTTAATATTCTTATCATTTCTCTCTAAATAATATTATTTAATAATGATACAATTTAGTAAACTATAATTAATATTATATTCCATATATGAAATATAAAAATTCTTTTTAAGTTTCATTACTTAAATATAAAATAATATATTTTATAGAATCCAATAAATTATCCTTTTTTCTTATTTGATATAATTTTATGTATCATTAAGTATATTTCATCTATTCTTATTGACTTATATATATTTCTTTGATGTAAAACTTTAGGTTTTCATCTTATCAAATAAATTAAAAATGAAGAATAAAAACAATATTTTATTAAATTAGATAATTCTCTGTAGATGATATTAATTCATGAAAATAACTACTTAATCGATTGATATCCTTTAAAATCATAATAATAATTAGATATCCAATTTCTGAAAAGATATAGTATTGCAAAATTATAAACTTTACATAATTAGAATTCATAATGTATATATAAATATTTAAATTAAGATGAGATGGATTAGTAAAGTTATATATGTAAATGCATTAATGATGTAAGGTATATATAAAATTCAAAACTATTTTCCTTTTTCATTTTCATCATCTGAGAATCCTAGATCATTCATTAGTTCAGTCACACTTTTCTCTATGTCATCTATTCGCTTTCCTAATAAAATTAATTAGATTCATATTGATTACCCATATCATCAATTCTAGAAACGATGGTGCCTTACATTTCATCAAATCTATCTTACATTTGTTTAAGGAGTGTTTACACAAAGTTGTTTAATTCTTTTGTAGAGGGATCCTCTGATATTTATTAGCCTCTCTCGTTCATTTGAATTTATTAAAATATATATTATTAACTATAATTTAATATGAGAACATAAATAGAGTATTTTTCATGTTTGTTAGAATGTATTATAATAAAAAATGATTCTTTTTAATGAGAGTATGATAGTAATTTGTAAATAAATTGTTTTAATAATGTTGAGCGATAAATAGATTTAACCTATATGTACATACTCTATTTTTATTATAATATCTTGACATAAAACAAAAGAATTCTCTTAGTAAAAGTATATATGGTTTAATGTTATATCTAATTTAAATGATTGCGAGCATTTCAATCAGAAAAGACAGGAAGATTATGGTGTGCTTAAGAAAATAATTGATAAAATAATCTATCATATAATGAAAACAAAGTTTTGGAACTCTTATAAAGAAGATGTTAAGATTGGAGAGCTTTTGATCAAGTCAGAATTTTAGAGAAAGGGAAAGCTTCGATATTTAGGAGGAAGCGAGACAATGCTGATAATATATGAGGTTTCAATTAGAGTTTAAACTTAAGGACCCCCAATTCAAAAAGCCTAAAAAGTATACAATGATTGACTTTGATTTGAAATTTGAGATGGTGCGAACAGCTCCAAAGATGAAACCAGGATGTCAAGTAATAAAGCTTTCTGGAAGTGCTCGAGCTGATTAAGTGAAGAGCGAAAATATAGAGAAACTTGGAGAGACTACTGGGTTATGGATATTTCGAGATGAAGACCATAGGTATGAGTTGGTTGCTCATTCCATGATCCTAACATAATGGAGATGGTTCTTGGGGAAGCGAATCAATTAGTATGGGTTCCATCACTTGTTTAAGGTTTTTAAGAGAATTGGAAAGGGAAATTTTGCATCTGTTTATTTAGCAGAGAGAGTTGAGGATGGATAATAAATGGCTATAAAAGCATTTTCTAAAAGTGTGGCATATGCAGAAGAGAATGGAAAGGAAGGATTAATGAATGAAATAAAGTTGATGCGATAATTAGATCATTCAAATATCATTAAATTACATGAAGTTCATGAAACATCGAATTCATTATATATTTGTTTGGAATTGTTGGAAGGTGGTCAATTATATGAGTAATTGAAAAAGAAAGTCATATTTTCAAATAAAGAGATCTTAACTATTATTAAAGGATTACTAGAAGGTACTATTTGATATATATTAGGTCTTAAACATATTCACTCTAAGGATATCATGCATAGAGATATCAAATTAGAGAATATCTTATTCAAAAAGCCTAATCAAATAGAGTCTGTATGTCTGGCAGATTTTGGATTAGCTACCTATGTTCATGAAGAAGTTTATTTGTATTGTAGATGTGGCACTCCAGGGTATATAGTTAAATATATTTATATAATAGATTTGTGGCTCCTGAAGTTATCAATATCAAAGATTTAACAACAAAATATGATAAAGTTTGTGATATCTATTCTTTGGGATTGGTTTTCCATTTACTATTGACTGGGAAACCAGCTTTCACTGGTCGTAGTTATACTACCATAGTGAATCAAAATAAGGAAGCTAAGATATAATGGAAATCATCAGCATTCGATATTATTCCAATAGCAGCTTTGAATCTATTAAAAAGAATGTTAGAAGCTGATCCAAAATAAAGAATTACAGCAGAAGAGGCATTACAACATAATTATTTCAATCCTTATCATATACCTAATATTGCTTAATTTGAAGATGAAAACATTGATATTGATGATAGTTGTCAATTAGATTAAAGATTATAAAAGATTAATGATTTGAATAACAAATTTGATATGATGCGTATTAATCAACTTACTAATTCTCCAATTAAATCTCCTAATATTAGAGCTACATAAACTTAGGCAATGAAAGAGTAAATGAAGGAAAGTGTTTAATTACAAGAATAAATGATTATGCATACTCCAGTTATTACTGGAAGAGTATAAAGTATTGATGGTATATATTTAATTAAATTAAATTTAGATTCTCCTGGTGAAGGGTCAAAATAATAATAATAAATGAAAGAAGGATTATCTAAACATAAGAGATAAGAATCTTTGAATTTCCTTTAAAAATATAAATAATAATAACAGCAACCAATTAATGATGAAGATTCATTACATTAATAGGAAGATTGTAGAGAACCTGCGATTTAATAAGTCAAATAGAGTTTAAGCAAAAATTTGTGATTTACGTTAAAACGGCTTATGATATATCTATTCTAATATTTAGATAGTACAATATATTCTTTTCCTCTATTTATATATAAATTATATTTAATATTTAAATGGACAATTAATTTGAACTTGAATAAGTCAATAGTAAATCTGAAATTATTCTTGAGAAATGTCTTTCAATGATGCGTCCAGAAGGACTTGAATAATTTCATTTTAGAATAGAAGAATAATTTTACAAAGTCAAAGTATAAAATATATTAATTTAAATTGTAGTAAAATAAAGTACTTTTGATTCATGAGAAAGAGGGTGATGATTTATAAACAATGATTGCATATTGGATTTAAGAACATTAATAAAGAAATGTAAGCATTATTAAAGATTAAAGAGAGATCTAATTATTCCATATTTTGTTGAGCATGAGAACTAAAATCATTATTATGCTATATATTACATTTTAACTAAATTAAGAGTATTTATATTGAATATATAGGCTGTTTTTAATATTACATAAAAAGTTGAATTAGAGAGTGAGAAATTGAAACAGTATTTTGAATATTGGTTGAATTTGTGTTCAAGAGAACTAGGCAATTAATTATATAATGATTGTAAAGTAGCATACAAACGAGTATATTATATAGTATTATTGAGGGTCATTATTGTAATTCAAGGCATCGATAAATTTTATAGTGGTGGAGAAGTTCGTGTATCATCTTGGTTACCTAAAATACTACCTGATAATATTAAACTTATTGCATCAGCCAGATTTGGTAGTAAAGCCTATGAATATTATTAATCTATTGGAAATCCTATCATTCCTATGTAAAATATTCAATATATTATTTTAGTGAAAATGAAAGTACTGAAATTTTGAATCTAATAAGAATGAACTATCATTTACATAATGCACTTATGGTTGTTCCTGAATAATTACGTTGTCAGTTGCATTTTCTTAAAATCTTTTACATCATCCTAAATAATCCTTTGGATGAATATGCATAATTAATTTCAGATGTATTATAATAGGCAGAAAGTATAATTTAAATTTCTCATTAAATTAATAGAATTTTAAACTGAAGTAGAATTCTTTACTATCCTGGTTAATTAATTTTGTCATTACAATACTATTGCTTCATCCATCTTTTGTGTTCTTTCTTATGTTAATAAAGGTATCTCAATTGATGAAGTGATGGCCAGTTGTACATGCACTCAAGAACAATTTATCAAAGTTTATGATTTTTTCAAGGTATATTAATCATTATTACTTAGATCTGTTTCCTAGAAAAGAATCTAGTCTATTCTATCTATATACTTACTATGAGATAGGCAATCTAATAAATCTAATTTACCAAAAACCTTTATGAGTAATATTTATAAATTATTGAACATTCAACAAATTCTACAAGAAAATTAGAAGAACTCATTTAATAATATACTAAAAATAAAAAGTACTTTAAACTTAAAGAAATAATTATTAATATTGAACATTTTCTTATTCTTTGGAATCCTTATAATAAATTTGAATTATGTTAATTATGGGATATGCTTGAATAAAATGGATATGATTTAGTTATGGAATATAATAAAGCAGTAGAGAATTTCTAAGCTATCTATAAACCTACAACAGAAGGATTATTCTTCATCATGTTATAGATTTGTATATTTCTAAGAGAATTCTCCAATTTTGAGAAGTACTATTCAATTTATTATTTTATAGAGAAGGCACTCCTGCTTATAAACATCCATTATTGAGAGGTTAATCAATAGAATTTGAAGAAGTAGGATTATATGGTGAGTTAAGTTAATTAAAAATGTTAGCTAAGAAGAAACCAAAGTAATAATTGAATGAAGATTATTTTCCAACTATAATGAGTACTGTCTAATTAGAGAATCTTAATTTAGATATTAAAAATAATAGAGATAGTTTTATTAATTATTATCAATCATAATTTGATTCAAACATTTTATAAGAATATTTACAAACTAAATAAGACTTTTTAAGAGAGAAATTATTATCTACTTCTAAAGTTCCAAATCCTTATTATTATAAAAGATGGTTATGGGTGTAATTTCCATGGTTAGCATTAACTTAAAAAAATAATTTCTCTAAACTTATGTAATTTTATGGAAAAGATTCTACTTAATATATGTCCATTTAGGAAGAAATATCAATCAATCAAAAGGCAATTAGATTGGTTATTAATGCTAAGAGTTCTAAGGATAAATCCATTAATAAATTACCAGAAATAAAACAACGTTATTATAGTCCTATGGTTAATAAGGATGAACCTATTAGAAGATTAAATTAGTCTTTAGAAAAAAGTATAGATAGAGCACCATCAACAGGTAGAAGAGAATTACCTGAGAATAAAAAGAAGGTGTTATATATTAAGAAATATAATTAATTATAGTATTAAAAGTAAGAATATTAATTAAGATTTTTAGTTAATAATTAAAGAATAAATTAAAGGAATTATAAACAGTTAAATAGAATTTATATCCTTAAGAGGCTACTATTGAAGCTTATAGATTGAATGACTTAACAAAGACTTAGGGAGATGAATTAAAGAAATAAATGGACAATTTGTAAGGAGTTTAAAATGAAATGAAAAGAATGTAAACAGTGTTAAAATTATGTTAATTTAATTAAGATTAAAATGAAGAGAGAGTATAGTAATTATTTAGACATTGTAAAAATTTGGATAGGATGATTAATGAATATAAATAAATAATAAAGGAATTGAATGAGAAATTAAGTGTATATAAATAAAAGAGTAAAATAGAACCTATTAAATAATAAAAATAACATATTTAAAAATAGTATATGACAATGAAAGATTTAGGTTAGGTTAATTAAAAAAACATAAATACTAATGGTAATATAAATTAGAATCATAATAGTGAATATAAGATAAAGGTTACATTTGATATGTAAGATCATAATAATAATAAGAATTTAAAACATTAAAATTCAATTAATAATAATTTATAATAATAAGATAAATTACGTGAGACTTAGACTAGATTGATGTTGGAATAAATGCCATCAAATAGAATGATTACTCCTGGATATAGATTATCATTGAAATTAAAAGGAGATGGTAGTGATCAAATAGATTCACACATTCTAGAATAGATTAGACATCTTAATTTTTTAGGAATTGCCAACACATATAATAATCCAACATTTGATGAATTTTTAAATCATTTAACAAAATAAAATGAATTAAATTTAGAAGTATAAGAATGTACAATTAAATTAAATGAAGTAAGAATTAAGAAATAAGAAAAATAAACATTTTTAAAAGTATGAAATAAATTCTTATATTAATAGATATTATAAAAAAATGAGAAACCATAAGATGTAAAAGCTGAATAATTCATATCATCTGATGATGTAGATAAATTAAGAAGAGCAAATGATGCCAAAACAATTACTTTAAAGAAATTAAAATAAAATAAGGCAGTGTATGACTTTTTCCGTAATAATATATATAAAGATGTTAATGCTTTCATTCCAATCAAAGATAACTTAACAATAACCTAAATATTTAGTGTGATTTTAACTAATTAATTTTCATTATAATCATGATTCGAAAAGTAACATAAATGGTGCCAAACATTCTAATGTATATTTGTAGAGTAATAACTCTTTTGCTCTTCTTTCCAAAAATCTACCTAATATTATACGTTAAGATGGTTAATGTAATTTATGCATTCTATAAAAGAGATCTCTTTCAGATGCATCATAATTATGACTTCTAATAAGCATTAATTTTAATTCTATTTCTCTTACTTTCCATAGATCTTAATCCTTAAAATATTAAGCATCATTTTTAGCTAAATATTCATCTAATCCTTATAGTAATTGAAATTCTTCACATATTACAGCAAATCTTTGAAATGACATGTATTATATAGAAGATTATTCTATATCACATTCAGTATTAAACATATTTATATAGTATTGTTCATCTTTCTTATTTTCAAGTTCAAGCATGAGTAATCTGAATTAATTCTAAGTTAATCTTTCACCTTCTTCTGCAAATATTTATAATATGATTGAATATTTAAGTAATAATTCTTAAATTTTTATATCTTACATAGGTCCTAAATGATGGGAGATCTCTTAATCATAATCAATATATTGAGGTAGTTTCTATAAACTCTTAATTTGATCAGCCAATTAAGATTGTAGAACTGAGATTCCAGTATCTTAGAAGTTGATATTTTATATGTTGCTCAAGATTTATAAGTAAATCAGGAAACTTAACTAATTAGTGTATAGATAAGATTAAGTACATCTCCGACCAACATTGCATGAAATAGTCTGGCTGAATCATTCTTTCTTTTATAATAGATTACTGATTTAATCACTCTTGCTACTTTACCTAACCAAACATTCTATGGTTATGATTAATTCTCACTAGAAAAATATTCATATAATTAGACATGCATAGGATAATTGAATTTATTAAACTTTAAACACCAAGATACAAAATTAGATAAAGTTTTTATTAATGTACTTTATGTAACAATATTTTCTATTTTATCTCTTCTAAATTATTGAATCTCTTATAATAATGTTTAAGTTGCAATTTATGTATTTTTACTTGGACATCTACTAACAAACAATTTCTTTTCTATTGAAAGTAGATTCTTCACAGGATTCAAACATTCAGATAAATCTACTTCTTCAGAAGAAGAACTAGATGAATCTTCAAATTTATTATCAGGAAAGACTTAGATAATATAAATTAGATACAATTTAATGTTATTTGTGGTTTTTGTGGTGAAAGCATCTCAGAAGGTTCTGGTGAATCACAACTCAATTCAATTAAAGAATTACGTTAAGGTATACTACTATCTTAAGGTTCTAAAGGAGTCATTGGGGGGAAGAATCCAAATGAATGTTTAGGATTTGCAGATATCAATAAATTTGGACTAGTACTTTAATGTTAAGGAGGTAAAAGTGATGTTGAACTATTTATAAATACTTATTATGTTGGTGGATTTAAATTATTTAAATTATTAGTACTAGTAATCATAGCATTAGGAATAGGAGAAAATGCTTTTGGAAATTCTAAATGAATTTTATGTTTGTTTGCCTTACGACGTATTTAATCTTAATGATATTAAGGAATGAATCTGGAAATTTATTTAAATTGCTTTTCAATAAAATTATAATTCTTAACTTACTATTAGTATTTATTACTCAAGATATCTAATTTCTTTTAAACTTGATTCTTTTATCGAATAGCTTATTTACAATCAATTTAAGTTTCAAATATTTAGATTTTACGAGTAATCAATTCATCCTTCAATTTATGAATGATGTCTTGAAAATGATTAGTTAAAAATACAAATACTGAATAAGAACTCTATACATATTTATCTACTTCAATAAAATCATCTGAAAAGAATTCTTCTTTCATTTTCATTATATTAAATAATTGAGATGATCTAAATTTGAGTTGGTCTAGAATACTTTCAAATACATCAGGAAATGTCTTCTTTTCAATTTCAACTCTCTCTATATATAATTGATAGTAATCATCAATAAATGCTTTAATTGGATATCTTGACATTTCTAAATATGTTTATTCATCATTATTTCTTGGTATACACTCTCTTTTTATAATTGCATAATTTGCTTCACAAGCTTAATTAGTTGTTTAAGGTGGTAAAGTTTAAGTTCCTTATTCATAATATTTTTTCTTTTAATAAATAGTCTAGACTGAACAATCTTAAGTTTAGATTAAACTATATATATTTATATATATATATATACTCTGTTGTATCTGCTTATGAATCTATAAATTGTATATGATTACCAACACATTTATCTTTAAAGAGTATCTCTTCATATTCTTCCATTAAATTTTCATCTTTTTAAGCTTTATCATCATTTCCTCTTTCTAATTCTAACATTTTATTATGATATGCTTCTTCAAATTTACGAGTCTATTCTTCAAATACTAATTTAAAATCATCAAATATTTCTTTCTTTGCTTTATATAATTCTTCTTCATAATCAGCTGTTATATTTTCTGTAGAATGTCTTACTTATTAAAATAATTTAAATGTTTCGTTTTCTTTATTCAAATCCTATAATTGTAATTTTAACAATTCAATATCGTTATTAAGACTTGTAATTTATGTTAGAAATGTATTAGTTTTCTTACGTAAATATTTATTCTCTTTATTCAATTTCTCTACATATTCTGTATTACGTTTTAATTATTTTTCTGCTTCTTACAATCTTTATACCTTCTCTGTCATTGAATTTTAATATCTCTCATGAATCTTAATTGTATTAGCCAAACTCTCTTTTTCCAATTTACGATTTGTTCTAGATTATTTATCTATAATCTCTTTCACAGTACTTGTAAATTGTGTCCATATCTTATCAATCAATTAAGAATAGTCATTGCATTTTACAGACAATTATTAACAAAGCTATCCTATTGAACCAGAATAAATCAACTCCATTTTATCATAGAACTCAGTTATACTAAAAAAATGCTGTTTTTGAATCTACTATACCATTGACTTAATAATTATCGAAATTACATACATCAGTCCATTATTATAATAATTACAAATCCTTTCTTTCACTCTATTCATTTGTAATCTTTTATAAGGTTCTAAAAGTCTTATTGCTTGTCCCAATATTTGCTCTGCTCATTAACTGATTCATTGCAAAAATCTATTATTTCTTAATATTTATACAGTTCCATCTTCTCCTTATATTGTCTTATTGATCTACTAAACAGATGGTAACTTCACAGGAGATGAATACTCATCAGTCAATGTTTATACCCTAATTTATTTCTCTCTTCTCATATTGTTATATATAATTTATATAATGACTAATTAAATATAAACTTCAATTCAACAATCAATATTTATATTGTATCTTATCAATATAATTCTAATCTTTTCAATTTCATATCATATCATTTATTTCATATTTGAAGATTTTATTATAAAATAGATATTAATGTATAATTTTGTATCTGTATTTGCAAATTCATTATTAGAAGTCATAGAATAGGTATCTAAACTGTACTCTTAGAACTAATTAAATAAGTATTTATATATATTAAATATATTATTAATTTTAGATCAAAAAGATATCATTAGAACAATCATTGGATTGATTTAATCAATAATCTTATTGATTTTTAAGTATAATTAATAGAAGTATTTGTTGTAGATACTCCTGGAATTAAGATTTAATAATAAATACCAGTTTTTTATTTCATTTTAAAATCAATATCATTATTAACTTAAGTTAATAGTTATTTGATATTGTTCTATTCTAATATAATAATATAACTCATAAATTTATTATGAATATCTCTCTTCAAAAATATTAACAAATATAGATTATTATGATAATATAGAGATAATAAATTACCACATCATTATATATAAAATACTATTGAAATTATATAAACTTTATATAGATTGTATTTATTCATCTGCTAATATTTCTAAGTGCTCTATCTATTCTTTATGACAATGAGAAAAGTTCATTAACATATCCTCTTGATAATTATTTTATTTCCTCTGGTTATGAACAATCCAATTATCTTGAGATTTCCAATAATTCAGATAATGGTACTGCTAGATCTAATCTTTTTGAAAATGAATGAGTTATTGTTTTACTATTATCTTTTGTATTAGATTAAGTAGAAGGTGATAAAAATTACCAACTTCCTAAATTTCCAAGTGATTAGTTCTTTCTTCTAAATGATGTTAACATATCATCATTCTAAGTATGAAATCTACTTGGATTGTTACTTATAATTATAATACAATATATAATACCCATCTTAAATTCCAAATATTTTACTAGGTGATGCCAAATTTGGATTATGATCTTCCTTACTTTTATTCAAGATTGTATGATGAAATTTATTATCTGATTTATTATCTATTTATTCTACCCACTCTGTTGGATATCTATAATATTAAATACATAAACTTACCTTCTTAATTCTTTTTTATCACTACTATCTTTAAATGCAGAACTAGTTCGACTAGCTGTTGTAAATGCTTAAGATTAATTCAAAAAAGTGCTTCGTTTAATAATCTAAGATTTTTAGACACTTGATTACATTAAAATAAAATTTATTTCTTAATAAAACCTACTATTAATTATTTCTGCCTCAAATAATATAATATAATATAAGTATATTAAATATATATAATATATAAATTTTTCATATAAAACTTAATATAAAGTATTGAATAATATGAAATTTATAATTTATAAGAGATTTGTTAAAATTATCATATATTATAAAAATATTAATAGTAAATTATTATTCCAGAATGATAAAGTAAGATGTAATTTAGGCAATTATTTAAGAAGGAATCAATTTGATGAAATAATTAGTAGGAGCATGCTTTGATGCTTCTTGCTATTGTTTTTCATAACCTGAAGCTGGAAGGGTTTGGATCTCATATCTAGATATCTAGATGGGAGTCATTTTTTACATAATGGTTAAGTAGTGAGTTTGTTCTATCATCCTACAAGAAAACACACAGCTACAACAATTGGAAAATTAGGAAAAAAATAAAGTGTTGCTGATGCAGGCTAATGGGCATATTCTAATTAAACCAAAGGGGCTTATGGAAATAAAACATATTACAATATATTATGAAATAATATATATAAATTATAAAGCATTTTTGGATTGATTATTATTTTACAAATTTAAAATTTATATTAAATTTTTTTTAACTTTGATCATAAATATAAGAATCAAGTATACTTTAATTCTTAAAGGGATAAAAAATAACTAAATTAGTAACTAATAATATATTATTTTAATAATCATCTGTTATTAGGATATAAAAGTATCATTATAAATATATTAATATTATCTTTGATATTTTAAAAAGATTGATTTCTTCAATTAATATTTACAATATAATTAATGTAGATTGTCTGTTATTTAATATATATTTACACATAGATCATTATTATTTGCATTCTGGCTTTTCAGTCTTTTTATTTTCATTCTTATCACCTTTGCTACTACTAGACTTCTTTCTTTTCTAATAATATATAATTTTAAATAGAATACAGATTTTTTTTTATCATCTTCATCATCATCATCATCCTCATCATCTTCATCATCATTTTCTTCATCATCATCTAATTCAGCCATTTCTGGTTGTAATCCTAAGAACAATTCAATTGAACATGGTACAATAGAATCAAGGAATTCTGTTGCAATATCAAAATGTTCATTCATTAAATCTTCTTATTTTTCAACTTCTTCATCATCAAGATCTTTTTTATTTGTAAGATCAAAATCTTTGAAGAATCCAAAGAAACTAGGTGTATCTACTACTTTATCAACAGTTCTAGCTGCTCCAGTTTTTTTATTCTTTTATTTCTTTGATACTTTCTTTTAAGTAACATTCTTTCCTTCTTTCCATTCAATATGAGTAGATTCACTTTTTACTGGAGTCTCACCTGCTTTTTCAAATATAAATCTCTTTGTGAGAACAGTATTAGTAAAATAATCATTTGGTGCAAAAGTAAGTTTGATAGTGAAATTATGACTATTTTCTTCAAGATCTAATTCTACTTTTTAGAGTGATTTCAATACATCCCAATCTTTTTCATTATCTTAACATACATCAGCTAAAACATAATTAAAATATTTATTACCAATAACAACTGAATTTTTAAGTACTTTGAACCAATAGTCATCTATGGGTTCAGCTATATTATTCTCAGCTACAATAGCTTTTTCTGCTTCACTTAAAAATTTATCAGAATTGGAGAGTTCAATATCAGTGGCAGCTCTTTATCCAAGAATGAGTTCATTTTACTTTAAGAAGAAATAGAATTTAAATTCTTACCTTTTAATAAAGAGGGAGATTCAAGTGATCATATTCAATTGTGAGTTTCTAAACTTGTTCTTCTAACTCTTCTTCGTATTGTTGTTTGCGTTTTAAGTGATAAAAGAGTGCAACTGCTTTCACTCTTTCAGCTACAGGTAGGGTTTTAATCTTAGTAATGACTTCTTCAATATTTGAGTTTTCGTGATCACTCATTAAAATTTATAATGAATTAACAAATACATTTCAAATTCATACTGCAATATCTAGAGTTTAGCTCTAAATTTGATCAATAATAATATGAATTATCAATTATGTTAAAGAGAGGAACACTTGCTGCATAAACTATTATAAGTAAAATGTAAATAAGAAATTCTGAAAGAACTTCTAATATTTGTAGATTACCAATTGATCAAATTGCAGAATTTCAATAAAAAATGGTTAATAAAGATGGAGTCTATGTTGATTATAATGTATTATTTAAATCATTCAAATTTAGATTAAATTTTTGTTTTATTTGGGAGGCAACCAACTCGGCGATTGTCTAATAAATTTAGCATACTTTCTTAATGGTGAAATAGATTAAGATCAAAAAGTCAAAAAGCCATTAACATCTACAACTGACAAACGAGCTGCCTTATTATTTAAAGTAATCAGACAACCTTAATAATCATAATTTGAATCTTAAGAATATCCTTAAGTTAATGTACCAATGCCTGTACCTACACATACTCTAATGTCTCAGTAAGTTCCATAGACTGCTAGAAATTCAAATAGTCGTAAAATAGAATTGCCAACCAAAACAAATAGAGCAAGGAGTCAATCTCCACAATTCAAGAATGTTGTTCTTGTTACAAAAGCAGAAGAATAACCTATATCAATTAAATAATCATCAGATAATCTCACATAAAAATTCATGTAACTAGGTGAGAAATTTTCATAAGAAAAACTTTAATAAGTTGTTCCTCCTATTGAAGATAATGATAATTTTAAAGAAATCAATGATATGATTACTTAATAAGAAGAAGAGTTGTAAAAATAGATTGAACAATTAGATAATCATATTAAAATTGATTCGAAATTGAGAAAAACAAATAATATTGATAATAATAATAACATAGCAAATTTTGCAAACGTAAACAGTAATAATTAAGAACTTTAATAATTGAAGCAAAAATATACTGAACTAGATGATAAATATAATAAAGCTTTAGAAGAAAACTCACACTTAAAGAGAATCATTAGATAAAGTGGTGAGTAATTAAAGAAATAAAACTAACTTTCATAATCAGGATATAAATAACTTACTGATAATGTTCTAAATTACTCTACAGTCTCTAATTAGGAATAATTTGAAAGAACTATAGAAAAAAAGAATTAGATCATTAAAGATTTATCAAATTAATTATTAGAATTAGAAAAGAATTCTAAGGCTACTGTTATTGAATAATTACGTAATTAGATAGCTAGATTAGAATAATAAACAATAGAAAAAGAAGAATAATGGTAGATCTAAGAAAAATTATATAAAGAAAAGATTTTTCAATTGTTCTAAAATACAGAATGAATCTATTAAAAACTTTATTTATTTGTTAAATATAATATTGTATATCATATTTAGATATTATTTATATATTACATTTTCTCATATTTTGAATTATGCTATTAATATCATTAATCATATTCATAATAGTTTTCATCATAAAATTCACTTTATTATTAGATATAATATAATTTAATGAGAGTTAATGATAATGTATGTTAATNAGCCATTAACATCTACAACTGACAAACGAGCTGCCTTATTATTTAAAGTAATCAGACAACCTTAATAATCATAATTTGAATCTTAAGAATATCCTTAAGTTAATGTACCAATGCCTGTACCTACACATACTCTAATGTCTCAGTAAGTTCCATAGACTGCTAGAAATTCAAATAGTCGTAAAATAGAATTGCCAACCAAAACAAATAGAGCAAGGAGTCAATCTCCACAATTCAAGAATGTTGTTCTTGTTACAAAAGCAGAAGAATAACCTATATCAATTAAATAATCATCAGATAATCTCACATAAAAATTCATGTAACTAGGTGAGAAATTTTCATAAGAAAAACTTTAATAAGTTGTTCCTCCTATTGAAGATAATGATAATTTTAAAGAAATCAATGATATGATTACTTAATAAGAAGAAGAGTTGTAAAAATAGATTGAACAATTAGATAATCATATTAAAATTGATTCGAAATTGAGAAAAACAAATAATATTGATAATAATAATAACATAGCAAATTTTGCAAACGTAAACAGTAATAATTAAGAACTTTAATAATTGAAGCAAAAATATACTGAACTAGATGATAAATATAATAAAGCTTTAGAAGAAAACTCACACTTAAAGAGAATCATTAGATAAAGTGGTGAGTAATTAAAGAAATAAAACTAACTTTCATAATCAGGATATAAATAACTTACTGATAATGTTCTAAATTACTCTACAGTCTCTAATTAGGAATAATTTGAAAGAACTATAGAAAAAAAGAATTAGATCATTAAAGATTTATCAAATTAATTATTAGAATTAGAAAAGAATTCTAAGGCTACTGTTATTGAATAATTACGTAATTAGATAGCTAGATTAGAATAATAAACAATAGAAAAAGAAGAATAATGGTAGATCTAAGAAAAATTATATAAAGAAAAGATTTTTCAATTGTTCTAAAATACAGAATGAATCTATTAAAAACTTTATTTATTTGTTAAATATAATATTGTATATCATATTTAGATATTATTTATATATTACATTTTCTCATATTTTGAATTATGCTATTAATATCATTAATCATATTCATAATAGTTTTCATCATAAAATTCACTTTATTATTAGATATAATATAATTTAATGAGAGTTAATGATAATGTATGTTAATTCAATCAATTGAATAAGTATATATTGAAAATGTGAATAATATTAATTATATATTTATATCTCCTATAAATATATAATTAAAATTATATTAAATGTAATGTATGATGTCATAAATTTGTTAAATATAAATGAGAATAAAATCAAAATTCGTTATTGTAAACACAACTTAAATAAGAATATGGATCTTAATAATAAGTTTGTGCATACTCATCAGTGGGAACTTCACAACTTGAATATTCTTCTTTAATTGACTCTTCTTTTACTTCATCTTTTTTAGAGAGACTTAAAAATCTATCATATGGTTATTCTTTCTATAACTATTCTTTGAGTTGTTCAATAGCTTATATGTACATCTATTTTGTTGTCTAATCTTTTATCTTGTTATTTATAAGCACACAAACTTCAGCTTATGTACCTAAGAATTCTATCCATTTGTGTTATGTTTCCAACTGAATTATCTTTGTTCTAGGATTGATGGCTCCAAATAGTTTTTTCAAGTCTCCTAATTCAAATTTTTATTGTTTTGAAGTCTTCTTCTTATGAATGGCTCTCAAATATCCATCAACTTATTTATATCCCATTTCTTCAGCCCAATGCATGAATTGATTCATAAAGAAAGGCACAATTCTACGTTGGAAATTGTGTTATTTCTTAATTGAGTATGGTACTTCAGATTATTATTCTTAAGGTTGAATAGTAAGATGAGCATTAATGATTTCTAAGAGATGTTCATCAATTTGCATGATAACTTTGCCATTGCATTTTTTAAGAATCTAAGATTATATAGAAAGAATACTTAATATGTATATGTGTCTTACATTTTATTTGTATTAATAATTTGCAACATTTGATAATTACAATTCATATTGGTTTTATAATACAAATTTCAACAAATATTGTGGAATATTCATTATAAATAAGTTTAATTATTTCTTTGTATTAATAAAACTTAATTAACTTCACTAAAATCTACATACAAAAACTTCTACTATTTCCAACTATCATTACTCAAATTTTATTGTACATCCAATCAAATAACTTATTTAAAGCATAATATCAGATTTATCAACCATTAATATTTTGATCATAATATTTATCAAAATCTTATGTAAATAAAGAGAAAACATATTTTCCTTTATAATTTTCATGGTATTCAATCTGAATCTAAGTATCTATAAGGTTTCTAATTCTTAAAAGATTAGATTGCATTCTTTTAATCAACTGATAAAATTAATTAATATAATAATGATTCATAAATTATTTATATAGTTAGTTACATTAATAATAGATATATTGTAAAGATAAATAGATTAGTTTATTATTTACATTATTTTAATGAGATTATGCTATTAATATTTTGATGATCAAGTAATAAGACATATGAATTTATATATTAATAATTAATTGAATGAATAAAACCTTTCAATAAAATTTCTTAGCAAATCAAGTGGCTATCGTAACAGGTGGTGCTACAGGAATTTGTTATGGAATAAGTTTAGCATATTTAAAATATGGATGCAAAGTTCTTATCACTAGTAGAAAAGAGGAAGTCTTAAAATAATCATGCATTACATTAGCATAGGAATCAGGCAATAATAATATTGCATATTTTCCTTGTGATGTGAGAAAATTTGAATAAGTGGAAGCAATGGTTTAATTTGCATTAGAAAAATGGGGAAGAATAGATATTTTAGTCAATGGTGCAGCTGGAAATTTTTTAGTTCCTTTCGAAATGATGAGTGTAAATGCTTTTAGATCTGTAATGGAAATAGACACATTTGGTACATTCCATGTAATTCTTATATATATTTATATAGTGTTGTAAAGCAGTTGTTGCTAAATGGATGTCAAAAAATGGAGGTGTTATTATTAATATTAGTACTACTCTTCCACATTGTGGAGTAGCACTTCAATCACATGCTGGAACAGCCAAAGCAGGAATAGATGCTCTTACTAGACATCTAGCTGTAGAATTAGGACCTAAGAAAATTAGAGTTGTAGGTATTGCACCAGGAGCTATAGAGAAATCTGAAGGTTTTAAAAGATTAAGAATGGATGATAGTGTAATAAATATTATTAGTATAGTCTGGTTTTGGAGAAGATTTTGAAAAACTATTACCATTATAGAGAGCAGGTACAAATGATGACATAGCACCTTGGGCTCTGTTTTTGGCTTCTGAATGTGCAAGTTATATAACTGGTTAAACAATTATTGTTGATGGAGGAGCAGTTAATACATTTCCTAATTTTACTCTTTTAAGTAAAAAAGCAAGAGATATGTTATAACCAAAATTATGATAATTATATTTTGGTTATAAATATATAATATAAATTATTAGATCAATATATCTAATTATGATTTTGTAATATATTAAAATCTTCAATTATTTATATCCTTATTTTAGAATAATAAATTTCATTTTTATTGTCATGTTAAACAATAATTAATATTAATTTATTATAAGACTAATTTGAATTTGACTTCTATTGTGTTTAGATATTAGATCCAATCAATATAAATAATTATCATGATTGTTTTATCTCATTATATTTGATAATCTGCTTTCAAGAAGTTTATTCAATTATTATGATTATTCATTTACACTTACACTTAATCTAAATCTTTAATTGTTTTATTTAAGACATTCAACATTCTTATTGAATCTCTTTCTCCCTTTAACATATTCACTCTTCTCTTTAGATTCTTAAGTATAAATCTTCTATTTAAATTGAAATGATTTATTTTTTTGTTATTTTACAATCAATTCCAATGTAGAATTAGGCATAAATCTAGTTTTGTTCTATAATGGAATTAATTCAATTGTATTAAGTTATAACTTTGGTTTTTTAATACTTATTACTGTGAATGGAGTCTCTTAAGTAGATATTGAACGATGATGTGTTTAATCTAAGGTATTATATTGTTATTTATTGAATTTTAGAAGTATTTATTTCTTTAATTATTCAATTGAATTGATTGGATTATTGACATTTACTACTATTTCCTTTAATAATTACATTTATTAATTAACGAATAAATATATGTTTGTTTCACAATCCAAGGTATTAGAATGTAAATCAATCATATAATCATTATAGAATGCTTAGTAGATATCACAAAACAAATCTTAGGAGAATAAATTGATAGAGAAAACAGAGGAGCTATACTTAATAGAATCAAGGAGATAACATTAGAGACATTTTAAAGACATTACTCTGAAGAGATACTATTATTATAATAAGAATTGCGTTAACAATCTCAAGCCATTGATAGAATCAAAAGGGAATATTAGGATAGAGAATAATAATTGATTATAGATGTTGAACATAAATTGCATGAACAGTAAATCATATAAGTATAGGAGATAAAGAGTTTGTAATAATTATGTGATGAATAAATTGATTTAAACAATAAGTAATAATTAACAATTGAGAAACTTAATAAATAAATTAGAGAATCTAATCTTACAAATTAACAATTAAATTTAGAATTATAACAACTTAAAGACATTTAATAATCTATTGATTATTAATAAAGATATGTTTCTTAGGAAGGATAAGAATATAAATAAAAATTAGAATAAATTTAATCAGCCTATTCTGTTCTTGATTAATAGTTCAAGAATTTTAAATTAGAATCTGATAAATAATTGAAGGATTATTAAAGAAAATTATAAACAATAACAGATTCACATATTATATAAGAAAACGAACTTACTAATTTGAAATTAGAAAATGAATAACTAAAAATTAAAAAATAATAGGAATCATAAAAATAGAAAGAAGCATTAGAATAATTGAAAGAAAAAAGTTAAATAAAAATAAAAGAATATAAATAAAAATTGAAAGATCTTTAAAATAAAGATTAATATATAATTGAACTTTAAGAATAAATGAAAGAATTAGAATAATAAATTGAATTCTAAACAAATTAACATAAATAATCTATAAAGATGTTGGAATAGCAATATAAGAAATAATATATAAGATTGGAAGAAAATTTTGAATAAGAAAAATTAGATTTATAATAATAATAGAATTAAAATCTGAAAACAAGTATTTCTGAAAAAGATAGAGAAATTACAGGATTAAATTAGGATTTAAAGTAATTAAAAATATAATTATAAAATGAATAAGAATAAAAATAAAAAAATAATTCTAAATTTGAAGAACTCATTTAAACATTTAAATAATAATTAGAAGAATAATAATAATAAAATACAGAATTGATTTCAAAAAATAAAATAATGGAATAAGAAATTAATAAGAAAGATTAAAATCTTAAATTATTATTAGCTGATGTAGATGATTTAAAATAATTTTCAGAATAAACATTAACTACTTTAAAAGAGAATTAAGATTATATGAGTGAAATTGAAAGAGAAAAATAATAATAATAAGAAATTATTTTATCTATTTAACATTAATTAGAAATAGAAATTCAAGGATCATTCTCATATAAAAGATTAGGATAAGAATTAGAATAAAGATGTAAATTATATAAAGAAGAACATTGTTAATTATTAGATGATTAATTAAAAAAAGAAGCATAATATTAATAGGAAATACAATAATTAGAATCTAAATTTAAATAAGAAATTGATAATCTTAATAAAGAACATTAAATAATTGTTGAAAATTTTGAAGGTTAAATGAAGAAAGTAAAATTAGAGAATAAATTATAAAATGAAGAATAAATTAGAGCTTATAATTAAATTTAAAAAGAATTATTCTAAAAAAATTAATAATATGAAAATCTTGAAAAATAGAATATTAATTTGGTTAATGAATTAGAATAATATATAAATTAATATACTCATAATTTATAATAATTAGAAGAATAGAAATTAAAAGAGAAAAATTTAATAGAAACTTCAAATAAAAATTTAAATTCTTGGAATACAGAAAAACATTAATTAATAATGTAAATTGATGAATTAAAATTTAAATATAGATCTATGAAATAAAAGATTATTAGATTATTTATTAGATAAAAAGAATAATTAAATTTATAACTACTTGAAATGAAATCTACCATTTTAAATAAAATAAAGAATTATGATTCAGAAAATAGATAATTAATATAAAGTTCTATTAAGAAATTCAATCATGTATTTTTTATCTTAATTATTATTTAGTTAATTGATCAAAGTATATAATAAGAAAAGAGAGAGAATGAATTTCTAGTTATTGAATTATAAAAGGAAATGGATAAAAAGATTGAACAATTAAAAAGATAATATAAATAAAATGAATAATTAATACAAGAAGAAGCATAAATTAAATTTAAACAAAAATTATAATAGATCTAATAACATGATCATTCTATTGATGATATCAAAAATTAATTAAATTATTACATTTAAGAAAATGATCATTTAGCTTAGAAACTTTAAGTGTAAGATTAGCTTAATAGAGAATAATAAAAAAAAGCAGAATATGAGTAAAGATAACTTAATCAAACAATTAAAGAATTAGAAAATGAATTGTATATAATAATTATATCAATTTTAGAAGTTAAATTCAATAATCTGCTGATTACACTTTGAAAGAGAGATAATTCCTAGAATTAAGATATAATGAACTTAAAGATAAATCAGAAAAGAAAATGGATTAAATCTAAAGAGATTATCAATAGTAAATATAACAACTTGAAACTATAATTTAACCAGTCTAATAAAGAGCTTTATCTCCTCCATTACATTAACATACTTAATCATCAAGTACAGGTTTCCATCGCTCTCCTGCTGTCTAAACAAATTTATCATCTGCTAAACGTATAAATATCTTCATTCTAGATCCATATTCAAAACCCCCATAATACAGTAGTCCATCCATAAGAACACCACATAAATCTCCCTCTAATGATAGAACTGATAAAACAATAGAAGAATTAAGAGCTGAGATTTAATAATAAAAAGAGAAACTATCAAGAATGAAACTCAATTTTACAGAATCTTAAAAAAAATCTAAAACATTATCAAAGTTTTGATAAACTATATATATATATATATTATTACAATTTAATATCTTAGTAATATAATAAATATTATAAGTATATTTTTAGATATATATTTAATTAATTAGTATTTTAATATCTCTAGTATACTTTTATTTAAAATTCTTAAGTTGCTATAACATTTAAGTACTCTTATCACATTTGAATTTATAATGATTATACATTAGTTCAATATTTTTACAACATAATAATTTATGATTTAAGTATAATTATTTTATTATATACTTATTGATCTAATAGAATAAATTTATTGTTTAATATTTCTTATATTTTACAATAAATATGATTGAAATCTATAAATATATATGATTAATACTAGATATCCAAATATAAAACAGATATCATTTGGTAATAAGTAGAAATGCAAATTCTTTTAAGAATATGTTAGGATAAATTAGAAGATTTCAAATAAGATTAATAATATATTTTACTTATTCTTAATTCAATTATGAATGATAATATAAATATAATTTTATTATTTAATGTATTATGAGTATTTTGATCAAGAATATTAAATAATCAAGTAAATATATATATCATTGAAATCTCTTTAAAACTCCTTTGATGATAAAACTATTTCTTCTTCTAGGAGAATTCTTTTTAAGAGGAGTGAAGGATCTATTAAGTTTCTTTTATTTCTAAACTCCATTATGTTATTTGGAGTTTTCTATGGATGGTAGTCGAAATTAAGTTCGAGGTACAAATTGAGGCATTTCAAAATATTCCTATTCGAATGAGATTTTCATCCATTCATGATTGAGTATATCATAAAGTTTGATTCTTTTTTGAGGATCTATGAAGAAAATCCTTGATAATAGATCAATTAGATAAGGAGAGACATTCTTTTTTGAAAATGTGTAATTACTGGTTGTAATATTTTGAATGATGTCAAAATTAGATTCTCCATCAAAAGGATATTTACCAAATATAAGATGAAAGAGTATAACTCCCATAGCCCAAACGTCAATATGAGGTCCAATTTTTTGATTATTTCCTTAGAGAGTTTCAGGTGCCATATATCTAATGGTTCCAATATTCAATTTATCCATATTACTATTGACAGCCATTCCAGCAATACCAAAATCAACTATTTTAATTAAGGTATCATTTTTATTAGCAAACATAAGATTTTCAAGTTTGAGATCTCTATGAATTAGTTTACGATTATGACAATACATCATGGCATCACAAATCTATCTAAAATACATTCGTGCTTCTTCTTCACATAATTAACCCTTAGCTTCATTAAAATATTAAAAATACCTTAAGTATATTTTGATAGATCACCTCCTTCCAAATATTCCATTACAACAATTACTTACATGTTGGATAGAGGGTAACAATTATAAAATTTGACTATATTTTTATGATTAAGTGATTTCAGTAAATAAGCTTCACGAAATACCAACTCAATATCATTTGCATCTCTATTTCTAGTATTGACATATTTAATAGCAACTAAATTAAGAGTTTCTTTGTGTTTACCCAACAAGACTTTACCAAATCCTCCTTTACCCAATTATTCTAAAATCTCATATTCTTGATGGATGATATTTGCATCAAAGTCTTCCCCTCTTGTGATATATAATTTTGAATTATCTTTTAAGTAAATCAAATCTTCATTAAACAGTTCTACTCCATCCTAAGTAAATACTCTAAAGTGTCTAAGACTTATTTAATGTTTCTATTCACATAATTATCTCAATTCTTTGAGTGAAGTATCACCATAAATACATATTTAAAATTTACGATCACTACCTAATAAAGTGATATTGAGTGTTTTAGTGTTAGAATCATCATTATATTCATGAAACATTTTAAGTGAAGTATTTTTTAATTTATTTTATGTAAAATAACACACTAAGATAAATCTATTATATTAATATTTTAATTTAATAATATAATGAATTTTCATGAATACTTAATCAAAATATATAATTAATTGTTCAATAAGAATCAAACTATTGCACATCCAAATCTTTAATGTAATTTTATTTATTTAATTAAGTCTATGTGATTCTCTAAAACAAATATATATTAAGTAGGCTAAAATTTCTGATCTTCTTTATACATTCAAATTTTATCACTTTAAAAGAGATTAGAATTGAGAAAATAAAAGAACTAGAATTTACTAATATAATGAAACTTATTTCAATCTTCTGAAATAAGCAATTAGATATTAAAACAAAATGAATTTAAATAAAAAAATTTTCAATTTAAAAGAGTATTGAAAGCATTAGACAAAAAAGATAATAAAACAAATATAATATCATATTATAATTTTTTATCCTCTTTAACATCAACTAAATGAAATAAAAATTAGAAATAATTAAGAATAGTTGTAAATGATATATTATTAAATATATCATCCTGCAATTACTTATGAACATAATTGTAAATTAACTTCTTGCTTTTAAATAGTACTTTTTATATCTCCTATTACATCTAATGGATTTGGAACCATTGATTCACACATCAAAATCTAAATATAATCTATTTATTTTGATTACAATTTTTTGATTGCAATATTTTTCTAAATCTGATTTAATATTAGCTATGGTTGTAGTACCAGGTAATCGGAGTTATAAAATACGAGTTTAATCATCAAGTTTTATATTTCTGTAATTTGCTAATTCTTATAATGCCTTAATGAATTATTGTCTATCCTATTATGCGGTTGAATTATATATTTATAAATTGACTATGATATGGTCTCCTCTCGCTAATTAAAAGATAGAAGAGTACATGTATTTTTAAGTAAAGCTTCTTGATATTAATACATTAAAATAATTATTGTTTTATAATATATTTTAATTTTTTTTAATTATCTAGATTCTTGATAAAGTGTAGATTTTATTGATTATTGATAAAATATTTGATTTAGTATTGAATAGTTTCATATAATACTTTATTCATTTTCTTATGTTTATTAAAGTTGTAATGTGTGTTAATATTAAAAGATAGATGTGTAGTATGTAAGTCTGTCTATAATATATAAAAATCAGATAATAATTTAAATAGTTTAAAAATAATGGACGAGAACAAAACAGCTGATGGGTAAAAATTAATAATAAATATAGTTCTGAGTAAGTAGTGATCTTTGAAGAAAAAATCACTAAAGTAAATGGAGAAGTGGCAATAAAGAGATATTAGAGAGGAAAGTTTTTAGGAAAGGGTGGTTTTGCTAAGTGTTATGAAGCAACAAATTTAGAGACCAAGAAAGTTTTAGCAGCCAAGATAATTGCTAAAAGTAGTTTAACTAAGAATAGAGCTCGTTAGAAAGTAATTATATGATTTAATGAATTAGCTTATTTCTGAAATAAAAATACACAAAAGTTTACAAAATACAAATATTGTTCAATTTGAACATGTATTTGAGGATCACGAAAATGTATACATTTTATTAGAGTTATGTTCTAATCAAGTAACAATCATACATTTAAATTAGACTTTAAATGAATTAATAAAAAGACGTAAAAGACTTACAGAAATTGAAGTATAATGCTATGTTGCATAAATAATCAATGCATTAAAATATTTACATGCAAGTAATGTAATTCATAGAGAGTATATTTTATTTATTTATATTTTAAGTCTCAAATTAGGAAATCTATTTCTTAATAAATCAATGGAATTGAAATTAGGAGATTTTGGTTTAGCAACAAAATTAGAATTTGATGGAGAAAAGAAAAGAACTATTTGTGGAACACCTAATTATATTGCTCCTGAAGTTTTGGATGGAAAAGTTGGTCATTCATTTGAAGTTGATGTATGGTCATTGGGAGTTATAATATATGCAATGTTAATTGGAAAACCACCCTTTGAAACACCAGATGTTAAAACTACATATAGAAAAATCAGATTGAATTCATATACTTTTCCAGAACATGTACTTATTTCTGATGCAGCTAAAAATCTCATTACTAGAATTCTTAATTTAGATCCAGTTAAAAGACCCACATTAGATGAGATTATGGCTCATCCATTTATGAATACTGGTGGTTCTATTCCAAAAACTCTTCCACTTTCTACTCTTGCTTGTCCTCCTTCAGCATCTTATAATAAATAATTCTAACCATCCACAAATTAAAGTAGTCTCAAAATGTCAGTAAATGCCATGCCATAAAGATTAACTGAAACTACTCCAAATAATTAAAAAAATCAATAAAGACCAGGTAATGGTTCATCTGATCGTTTTCCATGTATTTATTTATTATTATTATTCTTTAAGTGTAAAAACCTAGTTCAAGTGGTAATATTTTAGAGGATAACTTTGGATCTAGTGGTTTAAATAATGCATAAAATGCTGGTTATGGTGGATCCCAAAGACCTTAATCATAAAAACCAAATGATATTAGAAGTAGTCAAAGTTAAAAAACACTTAATACTCCTTTTGGTGGTACTGGAATGCAAGGTACACATTCTGTTAATAATCTTGGATAAAGATAACCATAATAAAAATAAGAAATATATGTTAAAAAATGGGTTGATTATTCTAGCAAATATGGATTGGGTTATCTATTAAGTAATGGTGCTACAGGAGTCTTTTTCAATGATTCTACTAAAATTATATTAGATACAAAATCATTATAATTTGAATACATGGAAAGAAAAGGAACTGATAAATAAGATTTTTGTGAATCACATAATTTAAATGATTATCCTAGAGAATTATAAAAGAAAGTTACTTTACTTCAACATTTTAGAAGTTATCTTGAAGGTGAATAAAATAAATAAGATATGGCATTTGAAGAATATGATAATAAATAATTAGTTTATGTTAAAAAATGGATGAAAACAAGACATGCTATTATGTTTAGATTATCAAATAAAATTGTCTAAGTATTTATATATTTATATAATTAGGTTAATTTCACTGATAAAACTGAGATTATTTTATCATCAGAACACAAAATGGTTACTTATGTAAATAAAACTGGAGAAAGAAGTCATTATCCTTTAGCTACTGCTCTTGATAGTTAAAATACTGAAATGGCTAAAAGACTTAAGGTAATCATATTCATTTACCTCCTTTAAGTATACTAAAGAAATCTTGACTCACATGCTCAATGGCGGTCATACAGGCGATCAAAAACCTAACTAAATGACTGGTACCAATTGGTAAAATTCTGGACCATGAAAAGATTATTTACATATCAATAAATAAGTGCATTTAAAAAAAACAATATTCATTAAATAAATATATAAATATTATTTATTTATACAATAAATATCTATTAAATAATTTATATATATATCAGAATACAATCTAGTAAGTTTTTAGACTTTAATCCCAAATAATCAAATAATATTAATCTTTCTCTGGAATGTATAAAATGTTACCAAATATAGAAGAACTTTAAAATTCCATACAATTCTATAGTATTGCATATGTTCCATCTAATTGTTATCTCATGGTATAAATATTATTTCTAATCTTTATTAATATTAGATTATGATCATGAACTTAAATAATAGGAAATCCAGATTAGTCAAGATTCTTTCTAGCATCTTCATACTAATGATCTAATAATAATTATTCTTATGTTTATTCATAAAAGTCATTGTCAATTTTAAAAAAAAACTAATTCTATTTATATTTCTTGTCTCCTTTTAAAATTCAGTAATCAATATAAATAAATCATTTCTAATAAAAGATATTCTATTACTACATTCTTTTATAGTTGAATTCACAATTTACATTAATGTCCATTTTTCTTCTGTTTTTTATCTAACAATAATCATTTTATTTTCACAATAGGATACTAAGTACATTTCAGAATCATTTAAACTTAAACTCAAAATTCTTCCTTCATGTTCAAATAAAGAGTATTCATATTTTAGTTAAGATGTATCAAAATTGAGTTGATAAACCTATATCTCTTTACCTCCACTTAATAGTTAAGTTTCCTTTTTATTGATTATTAAACAATTAATATATCCATTCTGTTTATGAAAATCTTATTATTAGCAAATATCTATATTATCAGAATATTTCCAAATAGCAAGTTTCTCATCAGCAGTAACAAATGAATTATAAAATTTACTATGAATTATACAAGTTACTGATAATTCATTATTCAACTTTTCTATTTATTTTATTCTTTCCCAGATTACATTATTTAATTGATAAATATTTATTTTATTACCTTAATTAGTAATCATCAGTAATTTAGATGGATTAAAAGCTAATGCATTACAACTCTCATTTTAGTAAGATAGAGGTTTATATTAAATAGGTCCATATCTAGTAAGATCCTATATAATATAATCTTGATTATATCTTTAATTAGAAAATATTAAATTGTTTTGGACTTATTATCTTAAAATGTTATCTATAAGTTTGATTGGATTATTATCAGTAATATTTTTATTGATTTAATTAGATTTTACAGTAAATAAATTATTTTAATCTGCATTTGATACCATAGATGCAATCATATTAAAAATCTTTAAATTTAATTCTGCATTTTTTAAGTCTTCGATTTGATTGCATTACTATTACAATATATTTGCTCCCTATTAAAATAGATTAAATATTGCTTAATTAAATTAACAATTAATCTTACGTTAGTTATTAATTTATATGTTATTTTATTGTTAAATTTTGTCTCTTAAAAATTAGTTCAATTTTTTATAACTTTTTTCTTTATTCTTAAGAAATATAGACCATTTGTCACAAAATATTTCCAATGACTCTCCTGTTTTATTTTGGCATTAAATACAAAGCGTTAGAAATGAATTTGAGGAGTCTTAATAAAACACTTTTGTTATTGGTTGCTAATGAAAAATACATAATGTATTTTTTAATGAATTTAGTAATTCAGAAGTACTTGTTTCAATTTTAGGTTCAATTTAAAATAAAGATTCTAGTATATATTAGTATCCTTCTTATAATTTAGATATATTTGTAAAATTTTGAATTTTATGTAATAATTTATAACAAAATTAAAGATTACATTGTTTGATTGAATGTTTAAACTGTAATGTCTCATTTTGATCCTTAATAGAATTAGGACATCTAAGAGAATAAATTTCATCAAATGAATTACTTTTATTTTGTACATCTTTTATTTTTGATATTATTCGTATCCATTCATTTACACACAAAACTATACTATTTATTTCATATATAATATCTTATTTATATGAATTTAATAACTGCAATAATTTCTCTATGGGTTTAATTTACTATTCAATAATAATTTTTCTAAAATTATCTTTTTATTCTTTTTTTTCATTCATCTCTCTTAATGCATTTTCATATCTTATTGATATCTCATGTCCTTTAAAAATTTGATAACATTAGTCACATAATAATCTTTAATTATTAGGTAATTGATTATTTAAAAGAAAAACACCAACTTAATTTTTTTCACATACACATTTTCTATCAATATAATCTTCTCTCATTGAATCTCTCATCTTTTAAAATATTTAATTACTTTTTATTTATATTAATAAAAATCTAATAGCATACTTTATTATATGCCAAAAAAACATCAATCAATTAGATTTAAAATGAATATAACTAGTTTTTTGTTAGAAATTGTTTATTTTATTTATGTATCCTCTAATATAATATCAAATTAATTGTAAATCATTTTAATTATAAAAATGAAAAAATCAATAATAAGACCAAGTAATCAATTAAATTCTCCTTCAATATCTCACTATAGATCATAAACTAATGGTTCAGGTATGATTGATCAATCTAGGATTTTGGAGGAAACTAGTGAAAAATTTTAGAGAACTTGGAATATATTAGAGAGTGTGGAAGAATTAAAGAGTGTACGTTAGATAGTGAAGTAGGTGACAACGGAGCCATGTGTTTAATGTGAATGTTAATTGGGAGGAACTATAATATCTGGTAAAGTTTATAAAGTATCTCCAATGGAGTTTTATTATTGTAATATTGGAACAAGAGGATAGAAATCACCTTTAAATTGTACTATGTTTTGTGATGGAGAGTTTTAGATAATGATTTCATTTAATTCACCTTTTCCAACTAAATTTAATTGTGATTAAGTTATTAGAAGTAAATAATGGGCAGTGAGACATAATGGAGAAGATAAATTACATTTAGCAGTAGTTGCAAGGAAATAAACAGATATAAAATTTTTGATTAATTTTGGATAAGCAGATTCTTTTAGGAAATTAGTTCGTATGACTAGTGATCATGAAAGAATATATATAAGTGATGATATACCAAAAACACCTTAATTCATTGTTAATTAGAATAAAGTATTAGCATTTAAGAAGGTGAATAAATTTGAGATGGAAGTTAGTAGATCAGATCGTTTCTTACAGATATTAAAAATAAGAAATCAACAAAAGAAATCAGTATTGGAAGAAAACTAAATGAAGAACCTTGAATTTAAAGCTAAAGAATGGGCACATAATGAATATAAATTAATTACATAAGCATTAAGAAATAGACATAAGAAAAGAGAATAAAAATATTTATGGTTTGAATTACTTTATTATATCAAATTTGTAGACACACTCTAAACATTTTTATAATAAAGAAGAAAGTAATTAATGAAGAATAAAATGATGGTTATAGGTTTATAATTGAGAATCAAGTCTTTCAAGGATAATAGATAGAAATAGAGAGGTGATATTTAACATAGAGTAATAGGAGATACTGTAATGTCTTTGATGATTTATTGTAAATAAACAAGAAGAAGATTAATACATAATTGTTTAGTTTCTGTATTACCTTTGTTGAAGTTGAGAGCATCATTGTTTATGTTTAAAAAGAAAGCTATGATTACAAGTGGAAAATTATAATTGATAAAGATTAATCTTAATTAATTTATAAGAAATGTAAGAGATTACAAATCTAAGATGATTTAAAAATGGGATTAATATACTTTGAAGATACATTCTATTCCATCATTATAAAAAATGGATAAGAGATTTATTACTTGGATCAAATATTTATATGAAAAAGGATATCAGGTTTATTTTTAGAATTAATTTATTACTTTATTAATGAGAGATCGTTATCGTTCTCATATTAGAGAATAGAGAGAAATCAAAAAATATAGATTAGAATTAAAAGCTGCCAAATTATAATTGAGATTTGCTAGAGAATCTGTAGATATTTTAACTTTGAGATAGAGAATATTTAGATTGAACAATGATATATTTGCTATGTAAGTGAAAAATTAATTCTTTATTCATTCTGATGTTGAAAGATTTGTCAATTCAATTTTAGAGTAGAGCTCATTTATCTTTTTAGATGAGGATACTAATCAATTAAATTAAGAAAAACAATCTCGTATTAGAGTGAGTTTAAAAAGATAAAAGACAATGAGAATCTCAAAGAATCTTTGAATTGTTTATGTTAATTTTTTATTATTTATAATATCATAAGTGATATTTTAATAAAATGAGATTGTCTATTTAAGATTAATACATGAATTTAATACTACCTATCAATAATATTCACTTAAATAATCTAAAGTGGGTATTTTAGAAAAATTGAAATCTAAATCATATAATAAGCAGAATAAAAATTATGGATGGATATCTATGATATAAGTTATAATGTATGTAAATTGAATAATTATCATTTGAATTAACATAGAAGGCTGAATTAACACAAAAAATGAAATAACATTAAATGAATTATGTAAATTCTTAATATAAATTAATATCCATAGGAATAATCAAATACTGTTGTTGAATAGACTCAAAAATCATTCAAATTAGATACTAAAAAGAAAATAGAAAATAATACAAATCAATTAAAAACATAAACTAATTAATTAGAGAATTACAATTAAATATTAAAAATTACTGATAAATTATAAGATGGAATTATGGTTGATCTTAAGAAATCAAAGGAGACATTATTGACAGCGCATGAAGATGTATTATAATATATTTGAATTATTAAGACAAATACAATTTAATCAGATGTAAAAGAGGTATGTTAGACTAATATAAAATAGAGAGCTCTTCAGTAAAGTATTGAAATTAGGATTGATTAGAGTGTTGACTTTAAGGAATATACTTTTGATATACTATAAAATATGATTAATTAAATTAATGGCTTCTAATATGTTTCAATAGAATGATATTAACTTCAATAAAAAAGTCGATGAATTTAACAATCTCTATAAATAATACTCCATGACTTAGAGTAAACAACTTACATTAGAGAAGATGAAACTTACTCATGTTTAAGCTGAATAATAAGTAATTGAAATAATCAATCACTACTATAGTTCAAATTTATGGAAATTGAATACAGTTCCTTTAATGAGTAGAATAAACAGGAATTTGCATAAAAATTTAGATAAAATAAGATGCTTTATACAGAATGCTAAAAGAAATTAAGAGATCTATAATCAGATATTGATAAACAACCATAATCACATTTTAACACTGTTGTCAAAAAAACATAGCCTATTTAGATTAGTGGATTAAATTCTGATTTACACTCATAAGTTAATTAATTAAATCATCTGGATTCACGATTACTTGAAGCAGAAGACACTTAAATAAGCATTCTAGATAATCTTCGTAGTTAAAAAGAAAAACTATTAAAAGCCATTGAAGATGTAATATTAGTTATTAATTTAGACTAAAGAAATCTAGAGTGGAGTTAAAATGACTTAGAGACATGCAACCATGATTAAGAATAGGGAATCATATAATAAAGGGATATTGATGACTTTGGTTTGCATATTAACAATTGGAAATATACTTATTATATACTATAAATTTGTTCATTGAAAATACATGAATTAAATATTATATTTATGATATTAAGCACAATTTTCATTTTATTTTATATCAATCAAGCTCTTGCGATATGTTCAGGTATACTAAAAAATTGAATTAAGCAGATGATATACCCTACTTAACCACCAGAATCCTTAGACCTACCTAATCCTTATGTGACAATACTATGATGTTCAATCTATCATTTGTAGATTACCCACTTACTATTGAAATTGCCAAACAACTACAGACAATATACACAATTGCTCCAATTTCAATGCTCTCTGCATCTGACATGCATGGTAATCTGAATGGTATTAGTTCTAAAAATATCTTTTAAAGCCTACACTGCAACTAGTTTTGAGTTTAGATCCCCATCTTAACACTAAATAGAAGGAACTTAATATGATTTAGAAATGCTAATTCATCATTAATTATAAGAAGGATTAGTTTCAGATTCTCAAATAGCCATTGTATCTATCCTTTTCAAAATTGATAAAAAGTAATCACAACCATTTTTTGATGATTACTATTTCAAGATATTGAAACATCAAAACACTACCACTCTTACAATCAATTTTCACAATTCCCTTGGAACATAAATTCCTTAAGATTCCACATTCTATACTTATATGGGGACATTCAATTCACATTTGTTGGATTGCAAATAGTTGGTACAATGGTATGTATTAGATACTCCACTTCCTATATCTTCATAATAAGTTGATCAATTTAATTATTTCTTTAATGGTAATCAAACCAAAAGAGAAAACATCTCTTAGGAAAAAACAACTGAAGTGATAGACTTATTAAAATTAAAGGGAAAATATTGTGAAAGCCATTTAGCCCGTGATTTTGGTTTGTTCTTAGGCTATTGTGCTATGATATTCATAATTTATAAATCAATTTGACATTTATATATTAATTGAAATTAAATCAGTACTTTAAGAGATGCAAAGTATTTGAAATTCCGTATATGTTCATTATTGATTTTTTGAATTTCCTTGGACTTACATAATTGGATGATGGCTATGTTATTGCCTTTTAAGGTGATAACATCTCCAATTAACTCCAATTTCTATGGATCTTTTTTGGAAAGAGAGGTTGATCTATTGTAATTGATTTATTGAAGTGGAACAATTTAGTATGCAATTTAGCCTTTGGAGATGATAAAGGAGGCATATTAATTTTCTTTGATTGATTAACAAGATCAACTTATTAAACTGTTACTTTTGGTTTAAATGTTGATAATATACGTAACAAATTTACTTAGTCTTTGAAGCCTAATATAATATTTCTATTTTTACATTATTTTAAAGAAAGAATACGCTTTGATTGACTTTGTGAATTCCCATGTTTGAGTCTCAAAAATACAATTCTTGCTAAATTCTAATTACGATGTTAAGGATTATCAATTTTAACAAATTACATCCATTCCTTACTTGATTTAAAATACCCAAACATCTCTCCTTAACAAGATTTTCGACGAGAAATAGTTTATGGAGCTTCCAAAGGTCCAGATGCACAAGCTTTGATTGCATTTCTTCTGACATATCGTACTCTTGTGTTTATAAACTTATGAACAAGCAAAGGAATTGTTCTTGGCAGAGACTTAGACCTATAACCACATCTCTTGAATTATTTGTACATGAACAGTAAATTCAATAAGAGATTTATATAAATTATTTATACATCCAAAATAATTTGGTAAGAGAGGAATTATAATAAAATAGAGATGTAGTGATAATTTTATATTATATTTATAATTCAGACTTATATTCCTATTTAATTCTCAGTTAAAATTGTTGAAAGCTTTTCCAATTCTAAATTACTATTCTTTAATAATGTATAAATATTTTAAGAAAATAGAATATCTATATAGATCTATGAATAAATAACATCCTCCCTGGGGTTCTTAAATAGGTGTGGCACATGGTGGTGTCATTGGGTATTCAAATAGTGAACCTAATTATGATTTCAAAAAAATTCACCTTTATGAGGTTCATTATAAAAAAGAAGAATCTGGATTGAGATGTGATATTTTTATGGGATATAAGTAAAATAAATATATATATAGATATTAATGTGTTGAATTTGCAAGAAGGTTTTTTGTTTTGAATTATAAAACTATGTTTACAGATGTATAAAAAGCACCAGACATTTGGGATTTAGAAACTGTTGAAGATTTAACAAAAGAATCTGGTACATTTCCATTTGTTGGATTCAAATAAGGAGGAAATGAGTAAATTATAGAATTGAATTATTAGACCACCAAAATTTGGTGATTTATTATTAGCTCCATAAAGTGAACATTAACCTTGGGGTCATGTAGCTGTAGTTGTTGGAGTTGGTGATGGATACATTGATTTAGCTGAATAAAACTATGAGGATGCTGGTTGGATTACAGAAACATATGCTAGAAGAGTAAAAGTGGAATGCAAAGATGGCAATTACTTTGTCACATATATTAGAGTTGGGTATTAATTGGAATTTAAACATTATTCAGATTTGAAGATTAATTTAATGAAAGTTGGGACAAGAATGAGATAATTATTGGTTGGAAAAGAATAATATTTAATTGAGTTTATTATCATACGTATTATTTATTATTAATATCTAATATGGACTCATCAGCTACAACAAGACGTCTTCAACATCTTTCAAGACATTTCAAAGCTTCCAATATAACTACTCCTCCTGTTCGTGTTACTGTTACAGGTGCTGCTGGAAATATTGGATATGCATTAGTTCATATGATTGGATAAGGTAGACTTCTTGGACCAAATCAATAAATCATTTTAACTCTTTTAGAATTACCAATGGCCAAGGATTAATTGGAAGGCACAATGATGGAACTCAGAGATTGTGCTTTTCCACTCTTGAAGGAAATTAAAGGAACAACTCAATATGATTAAGGATTTATGGGTTGTGACATAGCTATATTGGTTGGTGCTAAACCAAGAGGACCTGGCATGGAAAGAAAGGATTTATTAGCTGCTAATGCTCGTATCTTTAAAGAGTAAGGAGAAGCATTAGAAAAGTATGCCAGCAGAAATGTTAAGGTTTTGGTTGTAGGAAATCCTGCCAATACAAATGCTTTAATCACAGCACATTTTGCACCAAGCATACCAAAATCTAATTTTACAGCACTTACTCGTCTAGATTAAAATAGAGCCTAATCCATAGTTGCCTAAAGAGTTAGTGCAAATGTTGAAGATGTTAGAAATATTATTATTTGGGGAAATCATAGTACTACTCAATTTGCTGATGTTAGTCAAGCAACTGTTTAATAAAATGGAATTTCATATACGTATTAATTTATATTTAATAAGTGTTCGAGGATTAGTGGCTGATGATGCTTGGCTTTAAAAAGCATTTGTTGAATAGGTGGCAAAGAGAGGTGGAGCTATTATTGAAAAGAGAAAGGCTTCATCTGCTGCTTCTGCTGCTAGTGCTGTTTGTGATCATATTCATGATTGGTTAATTGGAACTGATAATGGGTATTTAAATAAAATTTATATTATTAGAACATTTGTGTCCATGGGAGTAATTACAGATGGAAAACTATATGGAATCAAAGAATAAGTTTGTTTTTCATTCCCATGCATTTGCAAAGATGGAAACATCAAAGTAGTTGAAGGTTTGAAATGGGATCAATTCTAATAGTCTATGATTGACAAAACATTGAAAGAGTTGTTAGAGGAAAAAGAAATGGCTTTATCTGTTGTTGTCAATAAATGAATAGAACAAAATATCAATATTAAATATAATTATCTATCATTGATATATAAAATATAAAATAATAAAAAAGGTTTAATAAATCTTTTAAAAAAATAAGACCATGAAGGAAGCATTAGAAGATAATAGATTTGTTCAATATCATTAGACTAATCATCAAAACAAATCTTTCTAAACCCTAGAAGCTATCGAATTTGTTGTATGATAATAACATAATAATGATTAGATTTAAAAACAGGAAATTAAGGATGAATTATATAAAGCTATAATTAAAGCTCAAGATGTGACTAATCCTGCTAATTAAAATTCTGAAAGAGCTAAACCTGAAACTGTAGATGGAGATTCTTTATAAGTTAAAGAATAATTCTGTAATGATGATTTCAAGAACAAACTGTAGCTTTTTAGTGCAGAATAAATAGAAGAAGAATAAATAATAGATTACAATTTTACTAATATTTGTAAGCATCTCTTATAAGATTAAAAATATGAGCAATATTTATCGATATTTCTAAAATTTTTCCAAAATACTAATCTAAATATGGAATAGAAGGAAGATCTATTACTTTTTGTAATTGTCATAAAATTAAATTTTGAAAAGTTGCCATAAATTGAAAACAATTATTTAGAAAAAAGAATAATTGATTATTATATCTTACTAAAAGATCGAATAAAAAAAGAATTAGATATTGAATATTAAAATTAATTTAAAAATAGTGAAAATTACGAAAATATTAATTGCTATTAATATTAGAATTAAGTATTACCGAATGGAACTATAGAAAGATAAAAAAAATAGAGAAAAATTGACCATAGCCTTATTTTAGTAGATAAATTAGACACAATTAAAAATAAAGATCGATTAAATGAAAGTGTTGATATGCTATTAACTATAAGTCTTTAGGTAAAAGAGATGTTTTAAGAAGAAATAAAAGACTAGGAAAAAAAAGACTATTACATGAATAAATTATAAAAGTTTAGTTAGAAAAAGATTATGAAAAAATTCGAGATTAAATAATTTAAAGATAATTAATACAATTTTATAAGTTAATATTTAATAAGACAAGAAAATGAAGAATCCTTAAAAATTTTATTATCTTGTTTTATAGAATATACTTTTCAATGGATCAATCTACTTGATTTTAAATAAAACGGAAAAAGTTAAAAATTTAAATAAAAAGAAAATAGTTAAACATTTAAAGAAATATAAAAATTCCTCAAACAAAAAATTATTGAATAAACAACAATTAAATTAGGTATTTAAAACTATTTTTAAAATAAGACATATTAAAAATTTGATTTTATAGAATTTGTGATAAATTTATTAAAAATTTACTAGGAGTTAAAAAATTTAGAAATTTAAGAATGGATAATAGATTAATAGTAATAAGAAATTGATTTGTAATAATTAGATGCTTACTAATAATAATTATTTCATTTCTTAAAATCTATATCTGAAATGAAGTTAGATAGATATAAGTAAAAAATGAATATTAACTTTTCTTTAAAAACTTTTAAAAAATTAATTTCATGTGATGCAAAACCTGAAGTATTAAATGCAATCAAAGCTGCTAAAAGAAAACCTAAATAATTTTTAAATGAATTAATTTTGAATGATGAAGAAATTAAGGATTTTTAGGAAGCAATAGAAAAATTACGAAAAAAAGCAAAAAAATAATGATTACTTTAATACTTATTATTTATAAAGTTTCAAATAAATAAATATCAATTAAGATCATTATCATCATCAATAAAATCTCCAACCTCTTCATTATTTTCTTATTCATCAAGTATTTATTCTTCCTTATGTACTTATGAATTTAATTATTATTCTTGCACCATTTATTAATCTTAATTGTCTTAAGATGATTGAGGTTTATTCTATTATTATTGGCTTTCATCAAGTTCTTAAATTTCATTGAGTTATTTATTAGACTATTTTGTATTAACATTATCTTATGATCCTTAATGAGCAGTTTTTTTCTATCCACTAACTAAAATGGCTCTTTTAAAAGACACATCTCCTGTTTTACCAACTTTATTAGGAGTTGTATTATTAGATTTTTGACTAGATGATCTATTTTCTTATGAATGTGTAGATGTATTTTCTTGCATATAATTCTTTCTTTATGATAATAAACTCATTTAATATTTAGTAGGATTATTTGATAATGCAGATAAATTCTTGACATTTGATTTTTATTTAGTTTAATCAAGGATTTCTTAGAATAAAGTTTCTAGATTATTCTTAGATTTCAAGAGTTCAGTATTTTCCATTTCTAATTGTTTATTTCTTTATTTAAATCTATTTGTATAACCTTAACTAGTCTTTAATTAAGTTGCTAAAGATCTCTATTACTATTTAAGTAATTCAATTTCTTAATCTTTTTCAAGGATTTGATTTTTAAGATTTTATAATTCATTAGATTTTGTTTTAGAATTCATTTATAATAAAGATTCTAATTTAGATTTTAAATCAGAATTATCTTAAAGAATTCTTAATTAAAGTTGTTTTGATTTTTATAATTCTTCATCTTTGAATATAATTTATTCTTAATGTTTTTATGAAATTTAAATAGATTTTTTGAGCTATATAAATTGAGTATATTTATACTTCAATATCTAATTATTTAGAATGTTCAAGTGATTTAATATATTGTCTATTGCTTTCTTGTAATTTGGATTCTAATTCTTTGATTTTGAGTTCAAGATCTGATATTTTCTTTGTCTATTCTTTTAGAGTCTTGTTTGCTTATGATAATTGAGTATCTAGAGTAGCATTTTCCCTTTAATATAAATACAATTAGTAAATACTTTTCAAATTATTTAGTAGTTTATTCAAATTATTTTTTGGCTTCATTCAATATATCATCCTTTTCAAGTAATCTGTTCTTAAAGAGTTCTTATTCATTAGTAGACTAAATTAATTAAAATAAATACCTTTTCTTTTGTTTTTTCAAGGATTTACATAATTTTTGTCATTTCTTCTTTATATTCTTTTTAAGTATCCTTCAATTAATTTTAAAGTTCTAAGATCTGCTTTTAATAAGTTGTATTTGAATCTTCTGCAAGTTTAAGTTTATTTAATAAGTCACCATTAGTCGTATTAAGTTGTTATAATTAAGAATTGAGTGTTTAATTATCATTTAGTAAATTATCTTTAAGTAATTTTAAATTATTGAGTTCATCAGTAAGAGTATTAATATTGACATTCTATTGAGTAATCAGAGTCAATTATTATGATTGTCTCTCTAATTATTCATTCAATGATTAGATTTATTAATCTTTTTCATTTAAATCTTTCTATAATTGTGGAATAATTTATTCATGATGAGATATCTTGGTTTCTCTTTCTTTGAGTTAAACATCTTTTTCATTAAGAAGATGTTCATAATGATTGGTGATTTATTGTAACTGAGATTCAGAATTAGTGTTTTCTCCAGATTTAGCTATTAATTATTAATTGAGATCTTTTGCTTCACTCAATTATACTTCAACTTCATTCAATTTACGTTGGAGTGTTTGAATTTGATTCTAGATTATAAATTAGATTTACATTAAAATCTCTTTCTTTAGATCTCCATTCCACAACATCACTTTGATTCTTTTCTATTAGTTTAAGATTTTAAGATTCAAGCATTCTCACTTTTTCACCAAGTTCAACTACCTAAACAATATTGATTTTATATATACTTCTGAATTATTTTAGATTGATCTTTGTAATTCTTCCACTTTATCTGTAAGTGCTACTATTTGTCTATGTCTATTTTGTATATCATCTTCTAAACTTTTAATTTTAGTTTGTAATTCTTATTCTTTAGACATATTGATAATTATTAATTATGTCTGAATAATCAGAAGAAGAATCCTAATAGTTATAATAAAAAGAAGAAGAACAATAGAATAGTCAAATTATATAATAAGATGATAAGACTGAACAATAATTATAGTAAATCCCATATGTTCATATGTTAAATAATAAATATAATGTGAGAGAAGCTGTTCATGCAGGATCCTGGTATTCTAGCAAAAGTAATGAATTAAAAATACAGATTAATTGTTGGTTAGAATAAGCTAAAGCAGAAGTAACTACAGTTGCATAATTGAAAGCATTAGTTGTTCCGTAATATATTTATAATTAAATTAAGTCATGCAGGTTATGCTTATTCTGGTCCAACTGCTGCATTCAGTTACAAATATTTAAAGAAATATCCTCCTTCTGAAAAATTAAAAGTATTTATTCTTGGTCCTTGTCATTATGTTTATATAACTTAATGTTGTTTAACTAGATAAGAAATCTATGAAACTCCATTAGGAAATATTAAAGTAGATCTAGAAAGTAATTAATTAATGATCATATTATTAGCTGTTAAATAATTACATGAATAAGGATAATTTGAATAATCAGACAAAGATGCAGAAGAGGAAGAACATTCAATTGAAATGTAATTGCCATTTTTAGCTCATATTTTGGGTACTGATAATTTTACTATAATTCCAATTATGGTTGGATCAATTGATGCTAAATCTGAAGAGTATTATGGTAAATTGTTAAGTGAATATTTTGATATGGATGATACTTTATTTATTATATCAACTGATTTCTGTCATTGGGGAACTAAATTTGCTTATACTTATTTTAATAATGCAGATGGAGAAATCTTTGAATCAATTGAAAAATTAGATTAGAAAGCTATGGAACATATTGAATTACATGATTTGGATAAATTTAATGATTATTTAAGAGAATATGAGAATAATATTTGTGGAAAACATTGTATTGCCATATTATTACATGTATTTGTATATAATTTATATTGAAAGTGTATAGCAATGAGTTAAAATACACATATGATGGAAACTAAATTTATTAGATATGCATAATCTTGTTTAGTTAGAGATAAAAAGGATTCTTCAGTTAGTTATGCAGCAGCTATTACATTCTTAGAAGATTGANATCTTTGTAATTCTTCCACTTTATCTGTAAGTGCTACTATTTGTCTATGTCTATTTTGTATATCATCTTCTAAACTTTTAATTTTAGTTTGTAATTCTTATTCTTTAGACATATTGATAATTATTAATTATGTCTGAATAATCAGAAGAAGAATCCTAATAGTTATAATAAAAAGAAGAAGAACAATAGAATAGTCAAATTATATAATAAGATGATAAGACTGAACAATAATTATAGTAAATCCCATATGTTCATATGTTAAATAATAAATATAATGTGAGAGAAGCTGTTCATGCAGGATCCTGGTATTCTAGCAAAAGTAATGAATTAAAAATACAGATTAATTGTTGGTTAGAATAAGCTAAAGCAGAAGTAACTACAGTTGCATAATTGAAAGCATTAGTTGTTCCGTAATATATTTATAATTAAATTAAGTCATGCAGGTTATGCTTATTCTGGTCCAACTGCTGCATTCAGTTACAAATATTTAAAGAAATATCCTCCTTCTGAAAAATTAAAAGTATTTATTCTTGGTCCTTGTCATTATGTTTATATAACTTAATGTTGTTTAACTAGATAAGAAATCTATGAAACTCCATTAGGAAATATTAAAGTAGATCTAGAAAGTAATTAATTAATGATCATATTATTAGCTGTTAAATAATTACATGAATAAGGATAATTTGAATAATCAGACAAAGATGCAGAAGAGGAAGAACATTCAATTGAAATGTAATTGCCATTTTTAGCTCATATTTTGGGTACTGATAATTTTACTATAATTCCAATTATGGTTGGATCAATTGATGCTAAATCTGAAGAGTATTATGGTAAATTGTTAAGTGAATATTTTGATATGGATGATACTTTATTTATTATATCAACTGATTTCTGTCATTGGGGAACTAAATTTGCTTATACTTATTTTAATAATGCAGATGGAGAAATCTTTGAATCAATTGAAAAATTAGATTAGAAAGCTATGGAACATATTGAATTACATGATTTGGATAAATTTAATGATTATTTAAGAGAATATGAGAATAATATTTGTGGAAAACATTGTATTGCCATATTATTACATGTATTTGTATATAATTTATATTGAAAGTGTATAGCAATGAGTTAAAATACACATATGATGGAAACTAAATTTATTAGATATGCATAATCTTGTTTAGTTAGAGATAAAAAGGATTCTTCAGTTAGTTATGCAGCAGCTATTACATTCTTAGAAGATTGAATAAAAATTAATTTGATTAAATAAAACATATATATATATAAATATATATTCATTCTATAATAATGGCTGAGTCATGATTTTATCCTATTTTTGATTTGTTTTATTGAAATTTTTATTATTCTTCCATTCTTGCTTATTATTGTAATTTCATTTGATTTATATAATAATTATTAGCATAGAAATTAGCATAACTATTGGTTCTTAGATGTTGATTAGATGATAACATCATATTATTTATTACATTTTATAAAGTGTTTGAATATGGTGATGTATTAACAGACTCTTTAGTTTTGACTATTTACAATTTATAAAAGATATTATTTGTTTCATTAGATAACATCTCTAAATTAATCATACGATTATTATTCTTAATTGCATAATTAGGTAGATTATCTAAATTTAGTAATTTTTGAATATTTTCATTTACTATTTATCCATTATTGTCGAAAGTGATTTCATTAACTTAAATATCAAATTTTTTGATTGTATTTAAGATTGCATATTAATATGCATCAATCTAAATAGTAAAGAGTTTCTTTTTACATAAGGGACATCTCCATTTTCTAGGTTACATAGAATACATGGCTGTAATATAGTTTTCTAATCCAAAACATTATATATGTTAACATAGAGATCCTCTTATTGGTGTATTCATTAAATTAAATGTTATTGCACATGTCAATTAGACAGTGATACTATCTACTTTAATATCATCTGCTTGATGTTTATTCAAATAAAGAGAGATGAAATCCTAACATTATTCAATATTCATCCAATTTTCACTTTGATTAATTATATTGTCTAATAATTACTTTGCATTAAATTACTCTATTGAATAAACACCTAGAAAATATAAGTGACCTAAGGATATTCTATATTGACTTCTTTAATCAGGTGTGGGTATGCATTCTTTGATTTATAAACAATTTTATGGTAATACTTCAGTAGTAAGGATATGATCATCTTTTCTTTTTTTAAGACTATGATTATTAATGAGTGGTTTGAAATCTTAGATTTTCTTTTAATTTAAAAATAGTTCTCCTATATCAGGCCAAGTGATTTCTTCACAATTGATTTTATTTTCTTATCTTACACATCTAATATTGATAATAGTTTGATCACAAGGGAAATTAAATGCTTTATGATTAATTTAACCAATTTATTGAAAAGGAGAAGGTGGAACTAAAGAATTTTATATTTTGTTAAAATGATCCATATACTTAAGTACACAAGGTGGACATACAAATTCCATATCTTTGTAACATTTATCAAAGGATTCTTTAGATTTGGAAATACAGTTGAAATGCAAATAATTTAAGCATAAAAGGCATTGTATTAAATTGTCTTATTCAGTTGGTGGTTTTCCTTGACATACACAATATTCACATTTGGCTTCCTTTTCAGATGGTCCTGTATTTATTCTTCTATACTTTAATTTAACAGAATTGGGAATGCAAATTTCATCTTCAATAGTTTAAGATGGTTAAGTAGTTTATTATGTATTAATAGGTTATTATTAGGAACAAGGAATATTAGTTTATTGTGATGGTTATTATAATTGAGGATCTTCTTACTATATTGGATCATCTGGATTATTATTGTTATTAATCTATTCTTCATCATCTTCAATTTGCATAGGTTCAGGTTCTGATTATGGTTTCCTTTCTTATGCAATAATCTTTTAGATTAAAGTTGTTTAAGTCTAAAAGTAAGCATGAATCTAATCATTGATTTCATCTACAATTTATAAGTATTTAACACAATCACAACGCAATTAACTTAGGGAATACAATTCTAGAAATGTGTTTATGGAAGATGGTTGTTTGTAATACTATTATATCTATTGAGTTTATAAGTCAGATAGATGATGTTTAGATGAAGTCTTATTAATGAGATCTAAGATGTGAATGTGTGTACTTAGTTCTAATTATTTGAGGAGAGTGCAATTTTTCATTTTAATAAATGTCCATTCTTAAATGATGCGGGTTATGTTTTTGGTTGATTAAAAAAAGAATGAATTAATTGGTTATGTGGGGGCATCTATACTCCCCACTAAAAGATTAGTTAAATCCCACAACCCCCACTAAGTGGAATTAAATTTAGAATCTTTTTTTGCATCTGCAATTTTATTATTTTAAAAAACTTGAGAGAGCGCCTTATCTCATGTTGGATGACATTTATCCGTTGTTTGGTTGGAACGAACCAGTTCCCACAGAGTTTAAAGAGATATTTTCAAAGTGTGTAAAGAAAGAAACAGAAATGGGTCATGATTCCAATTCAAGAAAGTGTAGTAGCACATTAGAAGAATCCTTAAGTATTATACATAACATTCTTAGTTGTTGATGAAGATTATGAAATAATAGGAAAGAGTTAAAATGATAATTCTATATGTCCAATCTGTTATTAGAATGTGTAACTGGGCAACACACAATTGTACTCAAATCATCTGTCACTTTATTTCGATGTCCATACTTAATGTGCTCTGATGTGCAAATAAAAACCAGCTTCATTGGCTCTACTAAATGAACACATCCAATCGGCCAAATTTATTAAGCGTGTTCCTGTAGATTATGATCTACTAGACCTTAATATCAAAGCATTCATAGAGTTCCGAGTATTTCACACAATTGCTCAAAAACCTTATTTACATCTAACACATTCCACTACACTTAAATAAAANATAAAAGGCATTGTATTAAATTGTCTTATTCAGTTGGTGGTTTTCCTTGACATACACAATATTCACATTTGGCTTCCTTTTCAGATGGTCCTGTATTTATTCTTCTATACTTTAATTTAACAGAATTGGGAATGCAAATTTCATCTTCAATAGTTTAAGATGGTTAAGTAGTTTATTATGTATTAATAGGTTATTATTAGGAACAAGGAATATTAGTTTATTGTGATGGTTATTATAATTGAGGATCTTCTTACTATATTGGATCATCTGGATTATTATTGTTATTAATCTATTCTTCATCATCTTCAATTTGCATAGGTTCAGGTTCTGATTATGGTTTCCTTTCTTATGCAATAATCTTTTAGATTAAAGTTGTTTAAGTCTAAAAGTAAGCATGAATCTAATCATTGATTTCATCTACAATTTATAAGTATTTAACACAATCACAACGCAATTAACTTAGGGAATACAATTCTAGAAATGTGTTTATGGAAGATGGTTGTTTGTAATACTATTATATCTATTGAGTTTATAAGTCAGATAGATGATGTTTAGATGAAGTCTTATTAATGAGATCTAAGATGTGAATGTGTGTACTTAGTTCTAATTATTTGAGGAGAGTGCAATTTTTCATTTTAATAAATGTCCATTCTTAAATGATGCGGGTTATGTTTTTGGTTGATTAAAAAAAGAATGAATTAATTGGTTATGTGGGGGCATCTATACTCCCCACTAAAAGATTAGTTAAATCCCACAACCCCCACTAAGTGGAATTAAATTTAGAATCTTTTTTTGCATCTGCAATTTTATTATTTTAAAAAACTTGAGAGAGCGCCTTATCTCATGTTGGATGACATTTATCCGTTGTTTGGTTGGAACGAACCAGTTCCCACAGAGTTTAAAGAGATATTTTCAAAGTGTGTAAAGAAAGAAACAGAAATGGGTCATGATTCCAATTCAAGAAAGTGTAGTAGCACATTAGAAGAATCCTTAAGTATTATACATAACATTCTTAGTTGTTGATGAAGATTATGAAATAATAGGAAAGAGTTAAAATGATAATTCTATATGTCCAATCTGTTATTAGAATGTGTAACTGGGCAACACACAATTGTACTCAAATCATCTGTCACTTTATTTCGATGTCCATACTTAATGTGCTCTGATGTGCAAATAAAAACCAGCTTCATTGGCTCTACTAAATGAACACATCCAATCGGCCAAATTTATTAAGCGTGTTCCTGTAGATTATGATCTACTAGACCTTAATATCAAAGCATTCATAGAGTTCCGAGTATTTCACACAATTGCTCAAAAACCTTATTTACATCTAACACATTCCACTACACTTAAATAAAAAAAAACCACTTCCATTTTAATAGATTATGCTAATCTAAGAGAATACTTTGGTAAGCGTCCTAAATACTAAATACCATTTCTTTAAGGTCGTATTCAAATTGAACTATACATTATAGATACTAATCTCATGTAAGAGGGTAAAAGTGCTCGTACTTATGAATTCTTTTATAATGCAGAATAAGCAGCTATTGGCGATTACATTTCATTAGAATCAGAAGGAGTATGCATATCAATGTAACTAGAAGAAGAATCAATTTAATTATCTATTAAATCACTACAAATTACACTCCCAACTGAATTAACTACTAGTCTAACAAAATAATCACCTAAATCATCACCTATTATAGATAGTTTCTTATTCTCACCTAAATTAAATAATTTTACTCCTTAAGTAGGTCCAATTCAATCAAGAGTTCGTTTTTAAAGTTTTTAACTTGAAGAAACTATACAAAATTCAATTGATGAATGGACTGAAGATTTATAAAATCTAGAATAAATTAGAGGTAATGTTGTTAATTTTGTGAAAACTTAACATGGTAGTAGATTGATTTAGAAATACTTTACAACTTGTACTTAAATGGAATTAGATTAAATGTTATAAGAAATAGGACCTCATCTTCCAGATTTGATGATTGATCCATATGCAAATTATATGTTTGGTAGTCTTAGTCAAAGTTGTGCTCCACATTAAAGATTATATATTTTATAAACTGTATATATATATTTATATTATTAGATTGGTAATCGTCTTGTTGATATTGCTTGTGATAAGAAAGGAACTCATGCAATTTAATCTTTAGTTTCATTAATTTCTTGTAAATAAGAAGAAGAAATGGTTGAGAATAATATTAAAAATAATATCATTCCACTTACTCTTGATAGCTAAGGAACTCATCTTATTAAAAAGATTATTGCACGTTTCTCAGAAGATAGACTCAATTATATATTTCATAAATTAATGGATAGATTTATTTAAGTTGTTAATCATCAATTTGGATTATGTGTATTGAAAGATCTCATAACTAAATTTAAAAATAATTTAGATAAATCAGCCATTATTATTAATAAAATGAAAGATCATTTAGATGAAATTATTTAAGATCCTTTTGGAAATTATGGAGTATAACATGTTATTGATGTAATTAATTAATTCACTTATTTTTTATTAGATATATGGAGATCATAGATGTAGTTCCATCATTGATAAAATACTTCTTAAATTAATTTAATTATCTATACATAAGTATTCATCCAATGTTGTTGAGAAATGTATACTTGAAACAACTCCAAAAACTCAAAAAAGATTTATCAAATAATTATCTTAAGACATTATTTGTTTAGAATTAATGAAAAATAAATTCGGAACTTTTGTACTATAAAAAGCTTTATAAGAAGCTGATAAATTATCAGAAACTGATTCATTGCAATAAGCACTTTATCGCAATCTACCTTCCATTTATGCTTAAAATATTAGACAAAAATGGATTGAATACTTATCTAAGAAGTGATATTATAATTAATTGTATATTAATGAAAATTATCATTCGCTATCATTCTTAATGGGGTAATATGAGTACTAAATCTTGTATTGTCAATCCTAACATCAAAGTTGCTCAACTCAAAAAACAAATTGCCCAACTTACAGATATAGATGAAAAAGACTTAACACTTTATCTAAATGATTACACTCTTGAAGATGAAAATCTATTATCTAGTTATAATCCAGATGATTGCCAATTTATTTATGTTAATAGAGACAATTTTTAATTAGATGAAGATATTCTTGAAACTGAAATCTTGGAAATACAAAATCGAGGAATCTATAATCGAATGAAAGGATATGAAAAATTAGGCATTATTCATGAAGATTCTGAAGAAGTTACGCGTAAAAAGTCTAATTAATAACTTACAGTTGATTTTATTAAGGTAACTTGCATGTGTCCATTAATCAGCTAGTAAAAAATAATGATATATCCGCTATCAAAGACCTGTTACCAATCCAATATCCCATAGACATCATCAATGATAGACAATACTCTGGATTCTCTGCCTTCCATTATGCAAATCAATCTGGTCATTCCGAACTTGTTACATTACTTATTGAATTAGGTGCCAACATCAATCTTTCAACTAAGGATAATCAATCACCATTATAATTAGCACTTAAAAACAATTAAATATCATGTGCCAAAATTTTACTATTTCAACCTCATTGTGATGTCAATTATGTATCTCAAGGCAAGAGTGCCCTTTAATTAGCAGTCTTAGCAGGCAATTTAGAAATTGTTGAACTCATCCTTAAACATCCAACATTTGATTCCTAATCTATTGATCTAAATGAATTGAAAGGAGATCCATAAGCTATTCAATTAGTTGTTAATTTATAGAAATCAAACCAAACCAATTAAATCACTAAACCAAAAGCTCAAAAAGGAAACATTAAAAAGGTTAATGTTCTTAGATTTTTTCATTACAAAAGATACTTAACTCTTGATCCAGAAGCAGGAACCTTAACAAGATACAAAACTGAAACTGATTATCCACTTTAACCTATTGAAATTGTTGCTCTTTCTAATATAATAAGTGTATGGTAACCTAAAAGAGAATGGTACATGAAAAATGATCATGAATATTTGAGTGTATTAAATCATTATTCATATTAAGGTATCTTATAAGAAGGGAGGAATTGAAATCTTAACATTTTGTTCTAAAAGTAAAAATACAATATTAAGTTGGAGGAGAAGTTTAGAAGATTCAATCAAATATTATACTGAATTAGAAAAGAAAATAGCTTAATTATCTGAATTAAGAGATATATAAGGATTAAGTTTATATATAAATGAGAATAGTGAATAATTTAATATAATTTAAGATTCTTCTTTTTAAAATAATGAATATGTGATTAAATAAAAATAATAAATTTAATAATAATAAGAAAATAATTAATAAAGATTGGATACTTTATAAAATTAATAAGATAATAATTATTAATAATAATAATAATAATAATAA